TTCTGGACCTGCTTACTAAGGAGTAAGCCCAATGGGACTTACATCTGAGTAAACATGAATTGGCTTCCACTGACAAACCTTTTTAGTGCCTTCTCCTCCCCCCTCATTCTCACATTTTGAAATAAATTGATTTACATTTTACTATATTTGTTCAATGTTTTGTTTCCCCCAAAAAAAATAAATACAGAAGATTAGTTACTTTATTGCACAGTGGTCAGCATTAAACCAAAAGCAACACATTTGGATATATATTTTAGCAGCATGTGATATTTTGAAAAGTTTCTGCAATAGATTTGTCTTAGGTGAGACTCTAGGTCCTATTATTTATCTTTATATATTTTCAATATTTCTATGCTGCCTCTCAGGACAAGCCCTCTGGAAGCAGTCCACATATAGGAACGAAGAAGAAATTAATTTGGTTCCCATTTTAATGTGAACCTAGCTACTCAGGAATTTGCAGTCCCTGAACTGATAGACAAACCCAAATGAAGCTGCTTTAACACACACACACACACAAAACCAAACACACTTTTCCAAATGCAGTTCTTCAGCAAAACTATGGATACAAATTACAAAAAATACATATATTAGGGGAAAGTGCATACGGAAATGTGCACATTGGTGAGAGTAACTTGTGAAACTATATAAGGGGGAATTGCTTGCAAAATACGTACGCTGAGCACAGCATAGGTCAGCATAACAAAACAGAAGGAACAATTTAAAACAGACACATGTTTTCAAATTAAAATAGGCAGCCCAGAATCAACACAACAAGCAGATCAAAGCAGTCTCCCCAGCAACACAAACTTTCTGAACCTGCTCCATTCAAAAAAGTGTGGCCATGTCATTGTTGTAATCAAAATGCTGTATGCAAATGGTATTTTCAATCCCTGGCATGGTTCAAACAGCCATAGTAGAGAGACTGAGAGAAACAGACAACAGCAGTAAGCTCTGGAAAAGCATGTGATTCCTATTTGTTGCCTCACAGCAAATGAATGCAAAGGCCACTCTGGGTAGGAGTCATCCCATTAGTTGACAAGGCTTCAGCAGTCACCTTCTTCTGATGTTTAAATGTGATTCATTGTCATTAAAATTTCAGTTCTGTTGTGACTTTTCTAAATAACGAGCAACCTATGGTCCTAAAGCAGCCTTCCCCAACCTGGTGCCCTCCGTATGTTGTTGGACTACAACAACAACAGCATCCCTAACCGATAGCCATACTGGCTGAGGGCTGGTGGAAGTCGCAACCAAGGCCAATCTGTAGGGTACCCAATCAGCTTGGGGAATTCTTTCTAGGTATATGTGCAACCATGGCTTTTCAGCAAGGCTTCCTTGGCAGACTGCAGTATTAAATAAGCATGGTTGATAAATAATTGAAAAGAAAGATTTTCTATGCAAGGATCCAATTAATTTTTCCTTAAAGATGGAGGCATGTTTTAGGCTCATCATTGATTGTGAGCAAGTCAATTTAGTTTGTGGGAAACTGTAAACTCTTAACATAATTTAATTACATTATTCAGATTTCAATAACAAAGAAAATAAGATTAAAGTCCCTGCTTACAGTAATCTTCCTTTCTTTCCTTATATTTGTTTGTTTTATTTTCTTATCAATGGAGGCCATGTGAGCAAACTTCTTTGCTGGTGCAGAAGATTTATGTGGTATCTTTCCGGGCTGCTGGTTTATAGAATGTCAAATATTCATTCTGAATGAGTCCCCCCACCCCACCCACCACCTTCAGATATGAATGAAGACTTGAGCAGCCAAATGTCAACAGAAGCAGAGTTGATCACTCTTCTCCATTTTCATACAGCTGGTAGTCAGAGGCAAACAATGGGATCTCCCATTGTTGGGTAGGTTTTGGGGTGGGGGCGAGGAGAGCAATTTTAGAGCTGACAGTGGACTGGTTGTTTATTATTTCAAAGGTTTTTCTGTCACTCTTAATCATTTCTGATTTTTACACTCAACGCAGGCAAATCTCCTGTAGAAGGGTGGTTAATTTAATGTGACTTCTCTCTCTCTTACAGGCCTAGTGCCTTATTTTAGGATATTTCTGCAGTCCATTTTAGGAAAGTGTGAGAAAGAAGTCACATACAGTTGCTCTTACACCAATTCTGTCTCAGTGGGTAGCTTTGCTCTGTCTAAGTGAAATGATGAGCCTTGTTCAAAGAATTGCAGTCACATCCCAAAATGGTTTATGGTGGATAGAGGTTGGGTAGTACACTACTAGTAATTCTGGTGAGATGTTATATCTCCACAGATGAATATGACATCTCAATATTTGAGACCAGTGTGCTGAAATGTTTCTTTTATTTATGTTTCTTGGTGTAAGACGAAGAAAAAATCATGCAAACATTTTATATATAATATTACTTGGCCTCTTTTCTCATATTCAGTTTTAATGTGGCAAAGCCAACATAAGATGACATTTCTCAGGTGAGCTGTTTCTTCTCAGTGAATTTCCACAAGGAAAGAGTTGGGACCTAGTGTTTACTAAAGAGGCGAACTTCTAATTCACATCAAATTCACTAGTAAAATAAAGAGAGAAATAACTCTGCTTATTTTCTGACCAAGTACATCTTCAGAAATACATTAGCCTACTCTCTTACAGCCCCTCCCTATCACACACACAACCTCGTGGACCCCAAATAACCATTCCTTTTACCTTTTAAGTGATGTTCTGTCAGCTATGAAGGGGAAGGAGGGCTTCTTGCTCTCCCCTCTATGACAGCATATCAGCAGCATGTCAGGTGTCAGAAAGAGGAAGGTGAGAAAAGCTTAGTTTGTTCTGCTGCTAATGCTCCTTTGTTGTGATCATTTAGGTGCTCTCAAGCCTGTATCTAGACTTGAGTCCAGTGTGTGTCACTGACAACAGAGGCACCAATAATTTCCTGAAGATCCTTGACATGTAGAGGGTTCACAAGGTACAATAAATACAGGATTTGGGGATCTTATGACTCATAGTGCTTACAAAGAGCACCAAATATCCCATGAGCTCTGCTCCCTATTCCTATCTTAAGACCCTAGAAATGTACCTTGGAGAACGAAAGGAGGTGGCAGTGGTAGGTTCTCCTCAAGGCCCCATCTTCTCCTGCCCTCATACATACTAATACTGGATCATTCTCACCACATGGGAACAAATTCAGGAGAACTACTCACCACCTGAAAATGATAGGTAGGAATTAACCAGTAGTATTTTCAACCAAATCTGATGTGTTTATGAAATGTGGACTGTGTCTTCTGTAACTAATGTGGTATATGTTTCTGTTTAGAAATGGCAAACATGAAATTACTAGGTGGCACTCAGTAGGACATTTTAAGAACATAAGACTCCTGCAATATTAGACCAAGGGTCCATCTCCATAATCCTGTTTCCAACAGTGACCAGCTAGATGCTTTCAGAAAAAGTCCACACACAAATAATGTGTGAAGGAAACAACCTTCTTCTGCTGTTTTCTGCCTTCTCTCACAGCATCTAATATTTAGATGGATATTGCCTCTGGAAACAGAGCAGTGGTGAGGAAACTCTGGCCCACAGGACAAATTAGGCCCACGAGCCTATCTAATTTCTACTTTAAGGCTGTTATGGGAACAACCAAGAGCCTCAGAGTGCACTTCTGATTTCCTTGGCTTGCATTTTTGGACTGTTTAAATTGGGCATGGAATGCAAGCCCTGCTGCCTCAAGCAGGATCATTTCTACTCAGGAGCTCCCCTAAAACCGCAACTGCAAAGGGACAATTGGGAACTTTAGAAAGTGTTATCAGCTGCTCCTTTGCAGCCCGGACTTGTATTTGGTGCTGCTTCGATTTGGAGCCAAATACAAACCTTATTGCTTTTGGGGAGTCTGAATCTATCTGATGCCATATCACACCGTTGAACTTTTCCGCGAGCCAAAACCATGATGTATGTCCTCCAGGATCTGCTCCCGGGTGAGTCTCGTGACCTGTGTTATGCTCTCAAGTGCTTTATTCAGGGTGAGGGAGCAGGGCATGAAAGTGAGAGAGAGAGTGGCAGCCAAAATGGCCGCCATGATCTCACACACAAAAAACCAGGATGTCCCTTTTCTCGGAGCACTTGCGAAGTATGCCATATCATGTCAGGTAACTAAAACAGGTATATAGGTCAAATGTGACCCACAGAGGGTTGCCACTTTTGATCCTGCCCGTCAGATGAAAATGTTTCCCTACCCATGACATCAAGGGTTTCACAAGTGAATAATACCCCAAACAAGAATGTTTATAGGCCCAGGATATATATAAAGTGTCACCTTTGCTCTTGATGTCATAGGAATCAGGGAGAAAAACATATATATTTTTATAAAAAAATATGTAAATACAACTATTTAATGGTAGCTTTTCATTTCATTTACACTCGGGTATGGAGAATCAAAAACTCAGTTTAAGCAACTGTGTCAACAACACCTTAAAGAGTGTTTCCTTTTGTGCGATACCTGCTCTTTTCTGTTAGGCTTCTTTGGAAACAAGGTAAAGGGACAAAGCCCCAACCTGAGATCCCCACACATTGCCCCATGGTGACAACCAGCTTTCCACTTGGGATTGGTATATGGGGAAGAGACAAGGCATTTCTCAAGGGAAGTAGATTTGGCCCTGGACTTTTAGGTATTGATCTAGTGTAAACTTATCACTGGGAAATTCCAGGCTGGATTTAGGCAGTTGCCTGGTATTTTCCCATTAATATCCCATTCTGCCGTTTCCTCTTTTCCTTGGCCCTACTTTCGTTTGCTCTCAGTTTACATGACACTCCATTGCTAGTTTCCATATGCACTCTCCATTGCTAATGCTTACAGTGGAGATGCAATGTGATGCTTCCTCACATTTGCAAATAGACCTGCATGTTGCTCAAAACCGGAAATATATTTTTTCTCTCTTTTAAGGTATTATTTTGTCGGCTTGTTTTCTCTCAATTTGATCAGTTAAGAAATGGTAAAACCAAAACAAAAACCCTAACAATGGTTTCTTCCCTCTTCAAAACACCCTGAAGGAAACTAGCCAAGAAGCAAAAGGAGACGCAGAGCAGCAGTCAGAGAGAAATGGGCCCAGTTGCTTCTTCAGACAAGACTGCTACGAAACTCAGTTCTGCTCATAATGAAGAAGCCTTTTCTTCAAGCTGCCAAGATGTTAATGGATTCAGTAAGTTTTACTTGTTTGCAATTGGTACCTCCATATTCAGAAAGCTTTGTGGTAATTAAAACGCTTGGATCCCATGGGAACAAAAATCTTAAGGATTTGAAACGTATTGTAAGGGAAACAACAGTAATAAAAATAACTGGGAGAGTGAAATGTCTCCATTTCTGTTCCTGAGATGTTTCTCTTTCTGCTACAGGTCTCTGCTTTTTCTAATGTCACTTGAATAAAAGTATTAAAATAATTCATTTTAGCACCTGAGCAATTTAGGCAAGTTTCTGTTTCACTGAATTCTGACTTAAGTAGAACAACTGCACATGGTTTTTGAACTGGCTGTGCAACCCCCAAACAGACAAACCAACCCCAGGGATATTTGGAAGTTGGGGTTCTTCATGACCTAGTGGCCATACAGTAACCATACAGTTGCCACAGTTCATCAGAGCAGGAACAACAGCTCCAGGTCAGGTGTTACATGTCCATAGCAACCTATTCCTCCATTACTAGGTCCAGATCAACCCAGCATTGTTACACAGCTGCTGATCTCTGCCACATCCCATGCCTGTGGTTTGACTTCCCCCTGCCCTGGCACTGGAAAGGAATATCACATCAGTACAGTGCAGCTGATGATGGTGCTGATATAATTTAAATTTCCTCTAAGATTGAAGGATATGTCTTGCTGGACAGCTGAGGAAACACACAGAAAACAGAGCACTGCATTTTTGTTACAATCCTCTGTGCTTAATTTTTTCTCTCTCTCCAAAACAACACATGGCTCAGTTATTAATCAATACTATCTAAAACTATGCTAAGCTGTTTTAGTTAGAGAGTGCAGGTTCACAGGCAAAGTTAGAAATCAGAAATGTGGTCAGTGTTAGAGGACGCCTGGAAACTACAGACATTCCACTTCCACCTGCAACCATTCTTAGTAGCTGTTAATGGAAGGGCTGTAGCTCACTAGCAGGGTATTGGCTTTACATGAAGAAGGTCCCAGGTTATATCCCTAGCATGTCCAGGGAGGGCTAGGAGCCACGGAAGCAGAAATGGCCTCAGCTTTTGTGCTCATTTGTGGTCAGGAATAGGACTCTGGTAACTGTGAGGGACCCAATGTGGTGTAGTGGTTAAGAGCAGTAGACTCATAATCTCATAAACTCAGAATCGGGTTCGCGTCTCCGCTCCTCTGCATGCAGCTGCTGGGTGACCTTGGGCTAGTCACACTTCTTTGAAGTCTCTCAGCCCCACTCACCTCACAGAGTGTTTGTTGTGGGGGAGGAAGGGAAAGGAGATTGTTAGCCGCTTTGAGACTCCTTCGGGTAGTGATAAAGCAGGATATTAAATCCAAACTCTTCTTCTTCTTCCAAACTGTAATGTTTTAAAAACCAGGAAACATAAAATAATTTTGTGGAGTGTGGAATCTGCCATGTAAGAAGCCTTGTATTGAAGCTGCTGTGATTTTACCTAGTACCCTATGGAAGAAATGGATATAGGTACCTACTCAGTGAAAAAAAGAGATGGCAAGGAAGATCAGACTAGGGAGCTAAAATTATCCACAAGTATCTGTAGCATCCAGTGAGGTACATTACACAGAGCACATCTCCTGAAGCCTGGCATCCCATGAGCATGATGAGTGAGACGCCGTATCAAATGAACAATGATACACTAATGATCCATCCAGCACAGAGGCACTGCTGCGCTGACACCACACTGATGGACTGTCATGCAGTAGGTCATACATAAAGCAGATCTGGCAGGAGTGGTCCAAAGGAGTACTCTGTATCATGGACACAACCAGGTTGACAGCTGTTGGAAAGTAAGAGAAGAAAAAGGAAGATAAAGTTTAGGATTTTATCACAGGTTGCTTATTCAGGAATCTCAGTTTGGAAGCCAAGCAGTTTTGCTTTGAAACTAAAGGGCGTGAAATATTCACTTCTGAAACAGAGGACATTGCCTAAGGAAGTCCACGGGAAGGTGTTATGCTAGCATGACATCTGATGTTGCATTCAAAGCCATGCTGTCATGTGCAGTTATAAAGTTAGCATTGCCTACTGGGAACTTAGATGGGAACAATAAGGGCAAAGATGATGAGTACAGAAAAAAGTTCCTTATGAGTATTATTAGAGCTGACACTGAAGTTCACCAGTTGTGAAATTCAGGTTGAATACCTAACTCCTGCAGTAGCTAAAGCTTTCCTCCAGATCCTGAAAGCCTCAGCAAAAGCTGCAAAACTTTCAGCATATTTCCTCCACAAAAATCAGTTGAGTACATTCACTATACTGTGCATAGAACAAGAGAAAGGATGTGATTGTTCTATTTGTCTAGAATAGTAAACCCTTGTTAGTTTGGGGGCAAAACAACACAGTTGGTGGTACATGAAGGGGTTTCATCCTCCCAATTGTTGTGTGAGGCTGAACTTGGGTGGGGATGGGACAATGTAGGAGTAGCAAACCTTGGGGAGCGCCAGAGTTGGAGGTGGTGGCTCTGCAGGTGTGGGTATACTGGTGGGGCTGCTTCCACCAGCTTGGAACTCCATCGACCATGCTGCTTCACCCTACCTGATCCCTGTCTAAATAAGCACAACACGATCACTACTGGGAACACACTACTGCTTCCATATACACACAAACCCTCACAAGCCACTGCTGTGTTGCTTTGGAAGCACTGGCAAACCCATTCTTATATATTAGAATTCAGCGTTTTAAGGTCTGTATGACACAGTATGCTATCACTTTGGGTTATATCCAATGTAGTGGTAAAGTAAGCATCCTGTCAGTGACAGAATTTCTGCTTGTGCAGCTGGACTTTTTCTCCCTTCTCCCCTTGCATATCCCCTAAATCTGTTCTGCGTTTCCCCCCAAGCCTCCCTAGGAGATTTGGAGAGGGGGAGGGCAAGAAGAGGAGGAAAGTACCATTGTGCAAGGGGAAACCCTTGCACTAATGAGACGAGGAAGTTGAGTACTTCCCTTTGCCTTAGCAATCTGAAACTGTACAGTGGTACCTCGGGTTACATACACTTCAGGTTACATCCGATTCAGGTTACAGACTCCGCTAACCCAGAAATAGTACCTCAGGTTAAGAACTTTGCTTCAGGATGAGAACAGAAATCGTGCTTTAGCAGTGCGGCAGCAGCAGGAGGCCCCATTAGCTAAAGTGGTGCTTCAGGTTAAGAACAGTTTCAGGTTAAGAACTAACCTCCGGAACGAATTAAGTACTTAACCCGAGGTACCACTGTATTTATTGAGGCACTTTTGTTTTGTTTAATAATAATTGAACAATTAACAATAATTAATGATAATGATTTTAGAAAAAGAGAGAGGTTTCCATCTGGAAACCCTGGATGTCCCAAACCTTGAGAACACAGAGTCTTGTGTAAGAGGCTTGCCGATCAGAAGGTCAGTGGTTCGAATCCCTGTGACGGGGTGAGTTCCCATTGCTCAGTCCCTGCTCCTGCCAACCTAGCAGTTTAAAAGCACATCCCAGCGGGATGGTAAACGGCGTTTCCATGCACTGCTCTGGTTCGCCAGAAGCGGCTTAGTCATGCTGGCCACATGACCCGGAAGCTGTACGCCGGCTCCCTCGGCCAATAAAGCGAGATGAGCAGCGCAACCCCAGAGTCGTCCACTAATGGACCTAACAGTCAGGGGTCCCTTTACCTTTTTTATAGAACTTGTGCTGAAAGAGCACTAGCAGGTCAAAATAATCCCAGTCTCGGTATTTTTAAAAACTAATTTGCATTCTTAGTGTAATTATTTAGGAATGTTGTTGGACTCCAACTCCCATCAGCCCCAACCAGCATGGCCAATGGTCAACATTTATGGAATCTGAAGGCCAACAGCATCTGAAAGGCTGCAGGTTAGCCATCTCTACTTTAGGCGATGGTTTTTAAAGACTCATGTGTTCATCGATACATATCCAAAGAGCCAGTCTATTGAGTGCCTATATGCTTAGTAGTATACACTTCCTTTTCTTAAGGGGAGATTTTGGCTCCATAAGAGATTTGTACAACATGTGAGTTAGGTGCATTAAATGCCATCAGGGAAATCTTACGCGGTACAGTTCCCTTGTTATAAACAACCTTGTTAACAATAGATTCTACTGGCACACTAGCACTTTGTTCAGTTTCCCATGGGACAATACTTTGGAAAATTGCTTGACCTGCTTTTTTTTAAGTGTAATAGAAATATCTGTAGGCTTGATACAACTCCACCTGGAGTCTGTTAGAATAGCACTGTTCGCCCCATGGAGTAATTCTGATGAGCTTTTATTCATTTGTAAATAATGTTTACTCTGGAGATCTAGAAATTGCTTCTGAAATTGCTTTGATGTATATTGGATTTTATCTACTTTTATATGGTATTATGGAACATTTATTTCTATTTTATCTATTGACATCTCTCTTTTTAATGTACTGTGGGTTTTTTGCATTAACTCATTTCCTGTCACAGTGAAGGTGAAGACAAATATATAATTGTAAAACTGGAAACAAATGTGAAAGGACTGCGAACCACATTTTCTGAGACCACAGTACCATAAATCCTTAAATATTGGCTGGCCCATGTAAAGCCAGCTTCCAAGACGTATTAAAATGTAAAAGTGTTGCATAAAGTGTTGCATATACTATGGTTTTGACTTGATTAAAAAGCTTGAAGATTGAAGGAAGACATCTTAAATCTAGAGACAGGGTGGGTTTCTTGTTTGAATCCCCACCCCCTGCCTCCAATTGTGGGGGTACCTCTCTTCATGTACAAAGCTAACATGTACAAAGCTGAATTTGATCTCACCACCCCACATTTATAACAACACTCATATCAGCATTTTGCATTAGCCGAAGTCTGTGAATTCTCTTCAAGGGCAGTCCCACATAGAGCACATTACATCAGTTGATCCTTAAGGGTTTGGAGAAATAAACGTTCTTTGGAAGCTGGATGTCCACTGGGGCTTCTGTGGCTTCTGATTGGCTGCAGGAACTTCCTACAGTCAATTAGAAGCTGCGCTTTGGAAGTCGAACGTTACGGAAATCGAATGGACTTCTGGAACAGATTCTGTTTGACTTCTGAGGCACCACTCTAATGTGTGTACATGTAGTTCCTGGGAAATAGAATCAGTTGACATCAGTATCAGCCAAGATGCAAGTAGGATGAGACAAAGTTGGCTTAGAAGAGCCTTGGAATATGATACTAAAACTGACTCATAAGAAGAGGAAGAAACTAGCTTGATGAAAAGTGAAGAGGAGACTGTTGCAGCTATAGAGAGCATTGACCACCAGAGATATCAGATTCCAATAACAATTCCAATAACAACAGAAAAGGGAGCAGAAATTGCAGGTGTTTGCTTATTCATCCCATGTTCATTCCTACTGCCCACTCCAGTCTCAATATCCAGAAAAGTTAACTTCAAATTCTCACAGAATTTCAAGCCAACGTGCTCTCAAGAACCATCTATTTGAGAGTCAGGCTTTTGTTGCATCTGATAATTTCCTTCCAATTTGTGCTTTTTGCGTACATATTTAACATTCTTCACCCCGTCAACCCAAATCCATGAACCTGTTTAAAAGAGAACTCCCTAATTTTTATTTTGTGAAAGTTGTGATACTGTACATTGATAATACTGATAGACATGGCTGGAAGTCCACCTCCATTAACATGTTATAGTCCAATGCAATTCAGATAACTTGTGTTGTTCTTGTGGGTTCCAAACCTCAACTATGGATTTATGCTTCCATATTCTTATTCTGCAGTCTTCTTCAAATGTATGTGTGGTGTTTGGGAAGGAGGAACATATGTAGCTTAGCAGGAGTGCCCTGTATGTGTTATGTTGCTTGTCTCTGCTGTATATGAGCAGTTCTAGGGTTTTTGGCACCCATTTTATTTGTGTATTTTTATTTATTTTTTAGATACCATATATTAGTGGTATTAGAAGACTGTTTGCTTCTAGGCAGTTTAATTATGTCACATCCAGTGAATTAAATGCTACTCTGTTCTCTAAGGAGCTTTTCTCTCTGTTCTGTTATCTTTCTCTATACATTTCTAAAGCTTCTTCCTTATGTCTTTCCTACCTAGCACCATCCTCTCCTTGTTCATTTTCTGTCCAAAGCAAAACCCTTCAGAGCAAATCTTTGTTGAATTCCTACTACTCAGGTACTTATGTAGACTTTATTCTTGATTGTGTGCTTTTGTGCCTTTCCCTGTAGATACATAAATATGGCAGTAAAGAACCGAGTCTTTGGGATGTTGGAAACAGCTAACTTTGTGTTTTTATTTTATTTTCCACATTATTTTTCTCCTGTTGACCTTCTGTTGGGTTCCATTGATCCGTGTTCTGTGCGCAAATGGAATTTCATCTCAAAGTATCATCAGACACTGTTCCATCGACCACACTGTTAGGTAAGAGGACTGTTATGATGCACAATAGCCTGTTGATGAGAAAACACATCCATTCTATCTGAAAATGGCTCAATAGAATATTGGCAGACATATTCCAAAACTGTTGTTTGTTTGAGGCGGCCCCCATTTTGGATGGTAAACTTCTCCTCATCGTCACCAAAATGTGTAACTGATTTTACCATATGCTCAGTGTCAAAACTCTGCCACCTTATCAGTCTCATTCCTTCAAAGGCTATGATGCAGTCTCAAACGATAATTAAACACACATACACACTCTCCAAAACAGCATTGTGGGGATGCTGTTTGAAAGTTAAAGGATTAGAATTAACCCCAACGATGAATCTGAGGGACTTTGATTTGGAAGAAATTGTTAGGAACATTTGTTCTGACTTCTACCAATACAGAAAGAAAAAGAAAAAATCACGAAAATGTGGCTCTCTGCTAAGCCCCCAAATGAAGAACATTTAAATCACATAATGGAATTCATTTCTTTTTTATTGATTCCCCTTTCAATAAAAAAGATTGGATTATTCCTTTACTCTCAATTCTTGTCATTCTGTTTTTCATTTTTTAAGATTAGATATTTGTATGCTTAGGGATAAAAGGCTTAAAAATATATTTGTCTTTTTTGCACACCTAGTAGAGCAAATAAAATAGGTCGCGCCTGCAAAGCTGATGCACAGATGTTGCATGTCTGAAGATAAAACCCAGGACCCCTGATTTGTATAAACAAAGCATTGATTTTTTTAAAAAAATTCCTCTATGGTGTATCAGATAGCAGCACATTGAGTGGTTCCAGAGGCTGAGTATTGCTGTAGGCAGAAACATAACACAAGCAAGGTGCAACCATTAGTGCATTAAAAATAATCCAAGGGATAGGAAAGTAATGGAGGAAGGAAGGACCACAAGGGTAGGAGCCTCACAGACCCAGAGATTTGTCTGCATGCTGGAACCATAGGATACTTGAGCAACTCTTCTGGAATATAAAGGACTTGGATATATACTTTAATTCACAGGAGTTATCCTCATACTAGAGGAATTGAAGGTGGATGCAATTTTCACTGACCCCTCCTTTCCCTCAGTGGACCTCCCTGTGGCCACTGAAAACATGATCTGGAGATTTGTTTCTATGGGCTATAGAAAGAAGGGGAGATCAGTAAAAGTCACCGTCCCACATGCCCCAGAGGCGAACCTCCATTGAATCAATCACCAGTTATGATGGCTGTGCTCTGCCTCCACATTTGGAAGCGATTGCTCTTGTGCTCAGGTACTGTTTGAGGGTTTCACACAGATATCTGGTTGGCCACTGTGAGAACAGGATGCTGGCCTGATCCAGTAGGTTCTTCTTTTGTTTCTATAATCCTGATTCTCTCCCTCAAATGGAAGGAGACTTGGAGGAGCAAGTCTGGATCCAACCCACAATGATTTTTCCCAGCCACACATGGTAAACCACATTTTCTTGTGAAATCATAAACCACATTTTCTTGTGAAATCAGCCACAACTGGAAGCTGGGCCAACCTGATCTGAGCCAAAAATTGAACAAACAAAACATCACAACATTCCTTTTTTTTTTTTAAGGACTTCTCCCATTTTTTATTTTTTATTTTGTTTGATGATTTCAGACTGAAAGTTGGGAGAATATCCTGTGCAGAATAGATCTACTAAATTCTGTTTCCTCCTTGAAAAAGAACAGTGGTTTGGAACACCTCTTGAGGAAAGTTGTACTTATCACGTGTATGAAAATAGTTGAGTTCTGCTCCTAGCCCTCTGTAGGGTGTGGTGTTTGGGGGCCCCCAGATTCCAATGTGTAGTTTCAAAGTGGGTTTTGAGTGGTCAGAGGTTTATTGGTATCCACAAGACAAAATAAATATTGTATGAGGCAGGCAATAGATATTTTGAGCAAAAATTATTTCCTATCCCTATTGATGGCTTACCTGATGGCTCACCTCCATCTGTAGCAACCTCTTAGCACAGCTCTTTGGACGGTGAAAATGGGAAGTCTTCCATCATTATGCCAAAGCTGCAGGAACAAACATCTGTTTAAGGTCCAGGAGCCGACTAACAATCACAAGTTCCCTCTCAGCTCCGCTTCCCAGTCCAACCACTGAAGGCCACTACTGCTTGCTGTCATTTGGTTCCCACGAGTGACACTTTCTGTGGCCTCGGCAGGGCACCACTGTTGTTTGTGAGCCACATGCTACTCATTCACTCATAAATATGTACCTGCCTCCCCCAGGTCCCAGGCCCGTCTCCATTTATGTAGGACCCAGGACTTAAGTTTCTTTGCTTAAAGTTGACATTATTTATAAAATTCCATGATCACAAAGCTGAAATCTCTAAGCCAGCAAATGTTATTCGTTTAGAAAACATTGTGCATTATAGACAGCACACCATGGTATTGTATATTAATTCCACCATAGATGTCTGTGATGTTGCTTTACCACACTCCATAGTCATGTTCCTGTTTCTTGACAATCTGTCCATAATTTTGTATGTGGCATAGTTATTTACCGTAATATATTGTAAATAATTTGGGGAATTATTGGTATAACTGGAGGTGGACTGAACTGTGTAATTCTGTCCCATTTCAGTTTCACTAACACTTTGTCATAGGCCCATTCAGGTCCCATTTTGTGCAGAATATTTTGAAAAAAACACATGAAAAAATTGCATTTAAATTATACTCATCTTGTACAAATTGTATTTGAAATTTTCATGTGATATAAGCTCATTTCACTTTTTTTTAAAAAAATAAATAATAACTGCTTTGTGTTTGACAAACAGTCAAAGCAAGAATGGTTTTGGTTCCATTCTAGAGAGAATATGCAAAGCAATTGATAAAGATGGGTGAGCTCTTTCTTGTTTACATTTGATTCAACCTAAATGATTAAAGTGCTTTCCTTCCTAAAAAAAAGCTCAACAATATTGACCTGAATCTATTCTGTGAGTAGATTGCAGTCTCTTGAGAGTTGTCCACCCCTGAAATAGATCTAAGATAATTTCCTGAGCCAAAGGAAGTCTTGGAAAATGACCTCCTTCCACACCAACCTTTGGGGTTCCCAAAACACAATCACTGTCTAGCTCCTATTTCCCATAACATATTTTCCCCCTGTCTTATTACTTACCCAGCCAGTGGTGATAAGAGTGGTGACGGCATGAGAGAAAGAAGCCAATCCACCTCTGTCCCATGTCAGCCTGTCACTAGCAATTGTGGAGTAGCAGCAATTGCATGTGAGGAGTGAGAGGATCGAGTACCCCTTCCTGCTTTCTTACTATTGCACTGATGGCTCATTGGATTTGTTGTCTTCCCAAGGGCTATGACAGTGGTGATGGAAGACAGAATCCAAGGTCCACAACACATTTCCTTGAGGCCCACTTCCTTGCAGTGTGGCACAGTGAAATAGAGAAAGCATGGAAGGGACAAACCGCTGGCCTTTCCTCATTCTGCCTCCTAGCAGTTTGAAGTGCAAGTAAATAAATGGGTACCACTGCAGCGGGAAGGTAAAAGGCATTTCCATGCATTCTGGCACTCGTCACAGTCCTCCATGTGCCCGTAGCGGTTTAGTCATGTTGGCCACATGACCTGGGAAACTGTCTGCGGACAAACGCCGGCTCCCTTGGTCTGAAAAGTGAGATGAGTGCCACACCCCATAGCCGCCTTTGACTGGACTTAACCATCCAGGGGTCCTTTACCTTTTTACCTTTACCTTGGCTCATCCTCCCTCAATGCTGCTGGCCTGATAATTAAATAGAAGGTAGAATGGTGCTTTTCAGAGTGGGGAATTGGCAGATGAGGTTGGCAGAGCAGTCAGAACTTCTCTGGCTTGATTTTAACACAAGATGCGGGGGGGGGGGGGAGAGAAGGTGCCTTGTAAAGCTCTTCTCTCCTTAGGATGTGAACATTTATGTGTTCCCGAAGTTTCTTCTGTGACACCACCTTCAGAGAACTTCACTTGAAGCTCTACTCATAAATTCACAATGCACGTGAACAAATACATAGGTGAACAAATAATGAACAAACAGGTGAAAAACAGCTGCATTTTGTAGTCTTCTAGCAAGTGCTGCTATATGCATCTAAACAGCTGAAAAGGCAAAGTTGATGATGGTGTGTTATAACTGAGTTTCAGCATCATTAACTTGATCTGAAGATTAGATTATTTTATAGTGGGGTTTTTTATTTTAAAAAGTGGAAGTTTAAAAACTGACAACTCAATACATGATACATTAGCTGCCATGCTGCAGTCTATTCCAGAGTTTATGCTGGGACAGGATCCTAACTTCATCTGCAATGAAAAAAATCCACTGATATGTCAAGGCAAAGTGATTGATGAACTATTTTAACAATATTCCACTATACAATTTTGACTCATTTTGAGGAATTTAGTAGATAATGATGGGTATGATACAAGGGAAGTCCTGCAAAGGGGGGGAGTAGGGCAAAATTGGTATTTATTTATTTATAATAAAAGGGTGGTCTATTTATAGTTTTCAGATATTCATGCAATGCCAGAAATGAGAGAGATGGACCAGTTGATTACCATAGCCAATACGGATATGACAAAAAGCAGGGAGTTAATTACATAGGCTATACTATTATTGGGGGGGATCTCACTATAAGAAGAGTTCATCAATGGAACAAGTTTCTGAAGTAAACTATGGACTCTCTTCCATTCAAACGTTCAAGACAAGATTTGACATTGAATAGACAATCTGTTTTTGTTTTTTTTTAGGAATAGACATATTCATGCGGAAAAGACATATTTTAAATGGTGAAATATAAATAATATTTTGGTATGAACTGCTTTCATTTTAAAATAGCCATCCAAAATAATGTCTTAAGACATTACTTAGACATCTTGAAATTCTCCACCCCATTTGTGAGTAGGGAAACTGAAGGTACCATTTAACTGAAATTCTCTGGGTGTGGGTGTGTGGAGATAACTTATCCTACAGTTTCTCGTAGTTGGGACTTACCATTTGAAGTGGCAATAGTACAGCTTCTTTTATTTTATGTTGCCATTGTCAGTGGCAGCAGCAGCATCTGTGTTGACAGACTGGCCTCCATTTTGCATCACCCCCAATGCAAATGACATTCTGGGGCAGTGTGAGGAGAAAATGGCAGCTGCCACATGCACACACATGAAGGTTGAGACTAATCAGATAATATTCTGCAAAGCTGCCTTCTTTTTCTAGGGGGGTGGGGTTTCGGAATTTTCTGAGAAATGTCAGTCCAGCTAAATAATTCTTACTTTGCTCCTAGGAGTAGGATCCAATGATTTTCTACTTAGGTTGATAGCTCCAGATTTTACCATTGGCACCAGATCCCCACAGGGTATAAATGTACCCATGCCTGTGTTCACACTATTAAAATGATTGCCAGCATGGTGCTTGTGGGAACCAGTGTGCCTACCAGTGCCTCCTATGGTACTTCCAAAGTTCCCCTCTTTTCTTAACATAGAAAGTGATCATGTTTTGTGAATTAAAAATGGTTTGCTTACAAATGCTTCAAAGGTCAGATTCATGTGCTTTTCCATAAAGCAGCAATAAAAGACAGGCAGTATTACTAAGGTTGCAACATGTTAAGAGTTTCTAAATTACTTGTATAGAAATACAAAGATTGTTTGCTTAAGCCTGGAGCATCCATCTTAGACCTCCTTACTGGTAGGGTTCACAGAATAGAAGCATGGAAAGTGGGAGTTTGGTAGCCCTTCCTCCCAAGGTGAGGGGGTGTGTGACCTGGCTAAGCTTGGCAGGACAGCTTACTCTATGGTCTTAACCCCTTCATGCATTAATTAGAGTTAAGCATGTTAGTTATATGATGCTGGAATGGCATGTAATTTCTTTCTCTGACCAGCAGCCTCAGTTTCAGAAGCTAATGGTTGATCCACTGGGTTTTTGTATGAACCCTGAAGTGTCTGGCACACATTTTCTTAAAGCACATGCTTAGTTGTGTATGATAGTTTTTCACTTTGGGCCATGTTTATGTTTTATTAGCATATCACCTTGAAATGAGTCATTTGTCACATCATAACCTAGACGCGCATGAAAACAAATAAAACCTGTAAGCCAATTTTGCAAGTGTTTCCATTACCACTGGGGTAATGCAGAGAGTGATATTAGCCATTCTGGAGCCATCCTTAGGAGATGTCAAATAAATGACAACCCTTTACTCCAGGAAAGTGAGATTGGATGTGTGTGTAATTAAATCCATTGCAGACACCAGCCCAAAAATAATTTATTTTGTGCAAAGGATGTCTTATCATGTTACACACTTGCCAAGGCTAACCGAATAAAAATATAAATGGATATGATAGCCTTATCATGTCAAAATCAGAGAGTCTATGGATATTAAAGGAAGAGTTTTGAAACAAAACTTTGTTTTTTGTATTCAGGGCACACTCCATTGTGGTAGTGCTTGAGATGTTTCCAGCAGAGCTTGGCCTTATCGTTGACAGGCTTCCTCTTCCCCCACTCTCCCATCCTATTCTCATTTTACCAGATTAGTAGTACGGATAGAAGAAAGAAATATCTGGATTATTTTATTCCCTGCTAACTGTGCAGGTTTTCCCCTCCATTTTATTGTGATCTGTGAAGCAATATTAAAAACTGTTTGAAACAGTAAATGATTAGCTATGATGAGAAGATCAAGATATATGTTAGTGTGTTTTACATTAGGAATAGCTAATCCCCCCTTTGAGAATCCTGATCTGGCCCACCAAGCAAATTTTCATGGCCCGCTAAGACTCCTCTGATTTTGGCAGCAGTAGTGGAAAGGAGAGAGAATAAATAATAATTATTATTATTATTATTATTATTATTATTATTATTATTATTATTTTCCTTCCTTCCTTGCAGAGGAACCAGGGCATCAAACACACAAACATCTAGAACAATTCCAATACAGATGCAGACTGGGAAAGAGCTCTAGAGAAAAGACTTTCTTCTTCAGTAGGTACCAAAAAGACAACAGGGAGAGCACCTTTCCAATATTTAGCAGGAGGATCCGATTTCCATATAGTGCAAAATGGGCCTCCTGATAAGATGGTATTTGCAGGAGGCCTTCACCTACTGAGTGCACTAATCAGTTGGGTATATAAGACAACACTAGGATGGGATGTAAATTGCCCCCTCGCTGCTCATCCAATTGATAATTTGATGAGCAGAAAGGGGGTGATATCTGATTTGTTGGATCAGCTGTGGAGGTGTGGCTGCCTGCCTGTGTATTTATGCTGGTCACACCCATTTTTTGCCTTTCCCATAACTGATATGGGCCCCTTTGGGGGTTGGCCAAGGTTGAAAAAAGGACATCAGGCCAAAAAAAGGTTAGCTACTCCTGTTTTGCATTATTGCTCATATTACAGCACCTTGTTGTTTGCCTCTGTCTGTCCTGGGAGACAATGGGAGTGTTTGCCTTTGGGAGTAAGGTCAAACCATTGGAAAGTTACTAGTGTCTGCTGTGACTGTAGAGACCGATATGGGCGAGACATGTTTTATTGCAGGTGAGGCAGATGAAGGTGTCCTCTTTCACTTTTAACAGGTGCACCATGGTGTTTCTTCTCTCTTCGTTCCTCCTCTTCCTCTGCTCCCTGCTGCAGATACACTGTCTGTCGGCACACTTTCTGTATTGAATACATATAGTTAAGAAGTAGACAGCATGTTGCTTTTATAGATCAACCCTATGGTGTGCTGTTCAACTAAAAAAGCTGATTGGATTTGGTGTAATCGCTGATACACAAGTACAGTACTGCATTGTATAAGAAGAACAATGTTCTTGCATTGATGTAACTCAGTGAGGTTCTTGTGCACCATAAAAGGTGCTGAAGGAATCGTATGGGAGAGGATGGGGTGGGGATGGCTGAGCAGGGCCAGCCCAAGGCATGTTGACACCTGAAGCAAACCATAAAATGGTGCCTCTCATCCCTGCCAGGGAAGAAGGGGTGAGTGAAGATCTACATCAGAAACAGAGTGGGGGGAATAAGGATCTACATTGGGATCAGCTGCCGCTGTGGAATCTGCTTCCTTCCACATACATGTGCATCTCAAGGGAATGTACAAACTGCAGTAAAAACAGCCTCAAAAAGAACAGTTTAAAACAATATCCAAAATAACAGCAGATTGATTTTATTTTATTTTATTTTTTTAAAAAACCAAATAGATGCCCAAGACAGATCCATCTGGGAAGGCTTTTTGGGACCAAAATGTCTGCAGTGGTTTTTCAAAAAGATGAGGGGCAGCCACAAGAAAAGTTCTACACCGAGTTACTGCGGCTTCTGAGATCTAAAGGGATAGACCGTAAATTTTTATCTGCAAAGGCTGTTCTTCTTAATGATTATCTTAAATTAGAAATAATAATTTCTTCTTCAGTTAGATATTGAATTGTTCATACAGGTATTGTAATCAGCACTTCTAAAATGTCCAGCTAGAATGTATCATTAGTCTTGGTGGCATTCAGTCTTAGACCATGATTAGACATATTGTGAGCATCATTTTTCTCGCACATGCAGAATATTTTAATAGCAGTCTCATTTTGCAGTTTGTCTATGGGGAAATATCTTTTTCTGCTCGCTCTTTTACAGAGAGAGAGAATCAAGATCTGGCTGCGATATCAGATGTTGTCCATTTTGTGTTGGCACAAAAAATATGGTTTATGGATACTTCAAGGAATCTGGGGCAAAGAATACAGACTCTTTTATCTCTTTCCCCCGTTGCTTTGGGATGAGTTTAGAACCTCTTTTTCCACTTCACTAGCAAACTTGGCTTGGTGTCAGCTATGTCTTATGAATTAATGGAATAGTATATAGTTGATTACTTCACAAAAACAACAATCACATCCAGTATGACATTCTCAAGTGGTAGAGCAGTGAACAAGAGTGTCTGAAAGTTACAATATAGGGTTTAGAAAGAATCAGGGATTTGTTTGGAGGACCCGTAAGTAAGTTTGAGCTAAGATGGATCTTAGGCTGGTGATGGCCAGCCCCTTCCTTATGGTATAATGAGATGGAGGGTTGGATCAAAACTTAGCCATCCACAAATGGGCGCCTTTGATCTATGGAAGGCATTTGATCCAGATGATGGATCCTGCAGGTGGAAAGGAGGAGGTTATTTTTTGCAAATTTCTTGCTACTCTAAAGCCTCCCCTTTTCAAAATTATTCCCCAATACTCCAGTCCAGAACAGATTTTTTTTGTAGGGCTGAAGTGGCTGCAGGCAGATTTGACAAAAGTCACCTTCCTGTTTTTTACCAGCTGGAATATCCCCTGAGTGGAATTCCATTCAAGAAATGGACTTGAAAGAGACACCAAAGTCTAGTTCCAAGCTTCTATCTCCTGTTGGGTAGGATTCACCTAACAAACCTCATCAGTGGAAGACCCTTTCCTCTCTCTGCACGCTCTCCACCCCCACTGACATTGACTATGGGGTGGAGTGAGGGATCAGGAAGACCCCTCCAGAACAGTGCATGGGGAAAGGAGAAGAGGGGTTGTTCCATCTGGGAAGCTGATATGCTTGTGACAAATGAACATGCCACATAAAGCAATATTGAATTCCGCCCCTTCTTTCTGCACCATAAACCCCCACTGCCATATACTTCAGCTGTTATATTTCCAACTATAGAACTGGAAAAGGAGGCTATCAAAAACAACAAAAAATAAAGCCCAGAATAGAATTCATTCTGAATATGGAAAATAATGATTACACCTGAATATGCTGAGCTGAGTAGCTTTGAGTTTAACTTTATGACAAATCCAAAGGCCTGAGTGTGCTTTTATAGGCCAGCTCACTACTTTTTGTTTTGTTTCTTTGGTTGTGACTCCTTCTTGGAATGGAAACTTTTAATGTTTTTAAACTGAGGCTGATAGAAGATTAGGGTCCTTGGAGAATTCAGTTGTGCAACTGGGTTTGGATTCAACCTAATGGTAGCAAATTAAGCAGATTATGCAGCCTATTGCAAGTAGTTCACCATTTTTAAAGAAAATGGCCCCATTCTCTATTGCAAAGGGTTAATGGGGAACAGTAAAGATGCATTGGGAAAGTAAATCCAGCCCGGAGAACTAATAAGCCTTGAAAATACCCTCTGTTCAGAGTCCTCACATTATCATTAGTAACGGCATTAGGCGGGTTATTGTATAAATAAATGCTTAGCTTTGCTGTATGGCTTCCCCCTAACACAAAAAATGGCTTTCTGCAAGCTTGCGAATATTTGTGTTTCATGTCTAATTAATATGCTTACACTGATGAAATTTTGAACTTTGCGTTAATACTCAGTGCTGTATTCTATAGATGCAGATTTCTTCGTCAGGAGTTGCTGGGACTTTGGCAACAAAAAAATAAAATAAAAACCAATCTATTCTCCTTTATCAATATCGGGAGGAGAACCTGTAGGGAAAGTGTTAAACAATCCTTTTCTCTGCCGTGCTGCTTCAGTGAATTTAGAGTCTGCTTCCTACCTCCCTGGCAGCTGCAGTAAACTGAAATCAAAAAATCATGAAGAAACATAGGTGTCTCCTCCACATCATGTTTAGTGTGACCCAAAAGCCCTGCCCCCATCATTATGTTGTACTTCATCTTCCTTAATTTCCCAATGACCCCAGAAAAACACCCTTCTTTCCCCATTGCAGGACTTAATAGAAATACAAAGAAATACAAAATACTACTGTACACTCACACGTACAAACATCCCAGTCACAAAATTTGGGATTTGCAATAAAGAATTCTAGTTAACTTCTCCATCATTTCCTATCCCCTGCCCAGTCCCCATTCAAAATGCAAGATATCAAACTTTGTTCCATGGTCTGTGAAGCTGTATAAGGAATTATGGCAGGCACATCACCTAAGTTGATTCTGCTTTTGGAGGAAAAGTGCAGAATACGTTCCAGTACATGCAAAGTTTGAGAACTAGTACAGCATAAAGCATCCCTGAACCACCCCTTAAAGGAGTGTTTAATTTAGGGTGGGGAAATTCTGATCCTCTGGAGGTTGCTGGACTACGAAGACTATGATCCTTGTCCATTGGCCAAACTGGCAAAGGCTGAAGGGAACTGGAGTTCAGCTGGAGGGCCACATGTTTCCATCTCTGATCTAATGCTAAATCAGTACAGATGAGCAACAAAGAGAATTTGCACACATACACCCCCTGCCTTCTAGCTCTCCTGCTAGGGTTCCCATCTCTTATCCTGAAGCAGAACCTGTTGCTTTCACATGTCCAAGGCATGGAACCATTGCATCACAGAGCATTTCAGGTTTCCCTGCTGTGATACTGCACCTGTCTGTTCTTCACTCTCTCCTTCCTGTCTACCTACTGAAAAGTGGCATTGGAGTCTTGCTTGGCAAGGGATAAAGGTAGGAGAACTGACCAGAGGCAGGATATGCCCTTTCTGTATAGTCTTTCTGCCCTCAAGCTGCAAAAGCAACAAGCAGGACAAGAGATGGGGACCTTATCGAATGTGATTAGGTAGCATGAAAGAAATTCCAGTTTCTGATGTAATGTGCATCAAATAACCATATTTCCTCCTCCTGTTGTTGTCACCGTTGGGTAATTTGCTGCTTCTGTGTTTTCTTCATTCCCTGTCACACAAAATCCAGCATGTGTGTGCATTAGCTTTGGGGGGTGGGATGGCTCTGGGCAGGTACAGTTTTCCTACTGTGCTTCATTTCAGCCATGGGAGGGAGGGGAATTAACCTTGGGGCGGAAGACAACAAATAAATAACAGCTGGGTGAAAGTTTGTTTTGCCTCCCTATTTTTTAAAACAGACAGTAGCCATGGGGAGATGACTCAGCCGACACTGACAATCCAGACCCATCCCTATCGAAGCTGCGACCCAGTGGAAATGTCCTACCCCAGGGGACAGTTCCAGCCAGCAATCCGAGTGGCCGACTTGTTGCAGCACATCACTCAGATGAAACGGGGACAGGGCTATGGCTTTAAAGAGGAGTATGAGGTGAGAGCAACATTCACTCACTTGAATGCCGAGCTAAAGAATGAAAATTAAGGCTATTGTCAAATCGGAACAAGTGTTCTTGAGAAGTGTCTCGATAGCTTAAGTGGCTTATTTTATATGCTAACCAGAATGCCTTCCCCCTATTTGCTCCTGCCTCCTTGTCTTGAGTCCTATTTCTGTTATATGTAGTGGCCGTCATCCTAGATGTTTCTGCCCCAGTCCACTGATGTGGGGAAAGGGCTTGGCTTTTCCATAACGGCTTCCTGGTAACCCCACTTATGGAAAAAGACATGGCAAAGCTTTCTCTTTTCATTGACACTCTCACACAGCAGAGCATACTGGGTTAGGGATCATGGCGCTAGCCACCTTATCTCTTGTATAAACTCCACCAAACCATAATATGGTGTAGTATAGGTGCAAACCAAAGACTCACTGTTTTGAATTTATTGTTAGTTGAACTGCTCAGAGTTTGTTCACACAGCAGCCTCTGGACCAGCATCCATATGATGAGAAGCCTCCAGGTGGCTGTAGTATCTAGTCCTACTGACAGCTCTCTCTGGCAGAGATGAGCACGCAGCTCCCTTCATCATCACTTTCTGCCACAGGACCAGGTGCTGCTGGAGGGTAAGCAGATGGATGACAGACCTGACAGTGTTGGTAAGAGGCTTTCCACAGGTGACAACCAGCTGTCAGAAGAACTGCTAGCTGGTACAGCCACCCAGAGGCTTCTGGCTCTATGAAGGTTTGTTCAGAGACTGTTTTGCGAACTAAAGATTCCTGAAAATCTAGTCATTTCTGTCCCACTGCCCCCAGGAGTGTGTCAGAGACTGGGCTGGGAAATGGAGCAGTATTTCCAGATTTGGGGTGCCACACCAACCATATCACATTTGAAGAAACACAGAGCTACATTGCACTGGGGTAATATTTTTTGGGTGCCAGAGAGATGAAAATAATATTCCAAAATGGATGGAGGAGACCACATTGGCTGCCCTGCCTTATTCCCCAGCTACTTTCACGTATGAAGTGATGAAATACAAGTTTGCAATTTAGGGAGGGGATTTGCTGATGGCATGGTGAGCAACTGGAGTATCTCTGCTGATGGCCTTCCATTTAAACAAGACACTCCTGGCTATCTCAGGACTGGCATCAGGACCTGGCACCTGTCCCCTGGCAGCCCCATCAGGCTCTGCTGGTGCTGACACCAGCCCTAGACTTGCATGCTTACCTGGTGGTGAGAGATGATCAATTTAATTCCCCATTACTTTCCTAATGGAGCATTTGAGGACATAGTGAGAAATTAAAATTGCAGCCCCTGAGCATTCTGGGAAATTAAAGTGGCTGCCCATTACCGCTGCTGCCAGAGGGCTTTCTCAGACTTGAAGCTGCCCCTGGCTATCTATATATATATGTCTCTCTACCCTTCATCAATGGATGAGTTTTCAGACTGTTGCCAAACAAGATACTGAGAGGCAGGAAGGCTGCTTCTGCCTGGGTCGGTGTGTGCTGCTAGAGCCTTGTTGCTGCAATTAAACCGTTATTGTCTTTGGCAGAAGTATTGAATCCCCATAATCAACATCTGATAGATGTGGTATAGCAGCTGTGATCAAATGCCGGCCTGGGAGATGGCTGGAAATATTTTCTCTTGGCTGCCTTTGTTCCTTAGTTGCGTATCGCCCAAGGCTTTGCAGAATTTCACCATGATCAAATGCAATGTGGGATGTTTGAATTTAGTTCTAAGTTTGGGCAAATCCAACCTTCAAGCCCCATGGAAAAACCACTGAATAGTTTATAGAAATGGCATTAGAGGCAGTGAAGTTGCCTGGGACTGTATTGGAATAGTAATGGTGGAAAGGAGAGAAATAAGTAAGAACAAACTTTCCTGTGACTCGGCTCCCCAGGCATTGGAGAGAAAACTGTAGCTGAATAGGTGTTGAGGTGTCTTGGGGTTAGCTTAAATATGAGATAACCACACATATTTTTGGCTATCTACCTTGACACACTGTGGTCATCTATCATATAACATGTACAACCTTTACTGCCAGGTTGGGGGACCACAGGCCTAGGAACCAAATGCAGCCCAATAACTCTCTCTATGTGGTTCTTGAGATACTCCCCACATCAGACTCCCTTTTCCCAGACCTGGCACCAGCCCTACTTCACACCTTCCTTGAGTGTTTTTGCCTAACTAGACTGTGTCCTTAGACTCTGAGAAAGCCTCTTGCTTTCTGGGATAAAGATGGGTATGAGTATATGTAGAAACTAGCCTATTGTAGAAAGCTAAAATTTACACTCCTTACTCTATGCACTTTTGTTCCTGGCCCTCACTATTAGCATGCGGCCCCCAGAAAGTTCCACAGAAGGGAATGCAGCTCTCAGACTGGAAGAGGTTCCCCAAACCTTGTTTACAACATGGGGGTGGGGTTTAGTCTCTCCTATCAATCTCCGTATAGCACATTGTGGTGAAACAGCTCTCCACAGCGATATTCGGTGGCCATTTCTAGTTTCCAACAAGCTGGGGACCAAGATTTACAAACAAAATAAAATAGATGCTCATTCCATCCCATGCCAGTCTTACTGTCAGTGCACACTTTCAGGTAAATCAGATGAACAAAGAGTGCTCAGCTCGATGAAGGATGCAAAGGGGAATTTTCTCTTGCAACTCCTGGTTCCTTTGTGTGACAAGTGAATTGCATGTGTGGTTCTTGAATTATGAAAGGACAAATGTTTGAAAAATTGTCTCAATGCTGAAGGGGCAGGTAAATCAGTGGCTACTGCAATAATACCATACAGTATCATTTATCTGAAGGGCTGGTATGTCATTGAAATCTATATCCTATTTCAAAGCTTGTGGACATGATTTTAAGGTACTTCCAGGGGTCAAACTGATGTGGTTCAGACCTTAAATTAAACTGTACTATCTTTAGATGTCTAGAAGAATTACTGTTAACCTCCATTTGTTCTTCAGGGAAAACAACTGTCACAAGTCAGTGAGCAAGTGCATGTTCAGAGTCTGTACAATTGAATTAAAACTGGGCAGTTCCATTTTGTGGGATGGGGTAGAGGGAGTGAAAATATTGCAGCCTGGTGGAAGCAGCTGATGGGGAAGAGGGGAACTGAGTTCTGGTGAGTTCCTGTTGAAAAAAACCCCTGTTTAAATCCATGCATCTTGTCAATCTGTCACAAAGCATTTACCTCTATCCTGTTTCGTGGGAGCACAAATAGATCAAGCCCTAAAAGAATTATGTGCTTTGTGTTTCACATTGGGGATGAAGCTGGATTCTGGGTCTGAAGAAGTCTGTAGTGATGAAGGAGATAGTGAGCAATCATATGCTCATCTGTTTCGTCCAGAGGAATGTGTACATGTTTTTGGGTGGAATATAAACTACTAATATAAGGACTGCTTCTGTGCTGTCATGTTTTTCAGCTTCAGTTCAGTGGGTAATGGAGAGTGAACTTTCTCCCATAAGGTGACTGCACATTTTGGGATATACTTCCATAATGTGCCCAGTCATATAACTTAATTATTTCCCTCACTGAAGGTGCTGACTCTAATTTTGCACACCTGATGTTTTATTTGTCCTGTAGAATATGTCCCTGTATGGCTGACTATGTGGCTCATAATTTCAAATTACCATACTTTAGCCAAGCTTGCATTGCAGCTTCTCTTTGAACAACAAACAAGAGCTGAAACATGGTTTTCATAATTTTACAATTACTGAACTAGTCTACCTAATTTGGTATAATATGGGGGTGGGGAATGTGACTAGAAGGTTGCTTCCGTAATTTAATATTTATTGCAAAGTTCTGCACTTTCAAAGTGCTACATAAATAATCAGTAGGAATTTTTTATTTTTATTTTAGTTTAGATGGCATGATGCCATCCCAGATTCATGAAAGACAGAAGATTAATGACCTTATCTTTGATGTCCAGGAGCTGTATTTCAAAATGTGATGTATTCTAGCTTGGTTTCTGTCTCACATACAAATATACTTGGCCTTTTAAGATATATTTTTTGTCCTTTACCCTGTAAACAAGTTTCATAAATTACGGTCTATTTAGTGACATGGTACCAAATAATTTTTCTATTATGAAAACGCTCTGTGAGTTGCCTTCATCAATCACTAACTCCATTAGACTCCCCCCCTCTTCATTTCTTGTCTCAACTATACATAGTCTTTCCCTTTCTCCCCCTCGTTCTTTCTCTTGAACAGTCTTTCATGCAAGCACACACACACAATTGATTTTAAACCATATCCCTTCCCCCAAATTTGAGAAGTAGTTTGGTAGATATCCTGGGAGTCTTGCTCAAGGCTAAACTGAAGAAGACCCACTTTTGTGCTTTCTACATTTTATTTGTATTTGTTTAAGGATATTTACATACCGCTTTTAAGGTAAACCTCACAAAGCAGCTTATATAAGATTGTTGTAACGATAAACATCAATGTCTTTTTAAAAATAGCTGCAATGAAAGAAACCTGGCTTGTTTTCTAGAAGAAGCTGGTAGTGCTTCTTCTCCCATCCCATTCCTTCAGGGCAATGCGTCCGCTCGAGCTTTCTTCTCCGCTCCTCTCAGGCGGCTATTTCTGGAGATTTTAATTTATTTGTTCAAGACAGTGCCAGATTGGAAAAGCATGGCCTCCATGGGGCTGTCCCTGAATAAGTCTGGCCCAACCCATAGCCGCGGACATGCCTTGGACCTGGTGTTTACCTCTATGGATGTTGGTGATCTGACACTAAGTAAAAGCGAAACGAAAGAAGTGCCATGGTCAGATCACTTCCTGGTGCAACTGGACTTCTCTGCGACCCATCCCCTCTGCAGGGAGGTGGGACCAATTCGGATGGTCCGCCCCCACCACTTAATGGATCCAAATGGTTTCCAGAGAGCGGTAGGGGATGCTTTATCCCATGTTGATGGCCTTTCAGCTGATTCCCTGGTGGCCCGCTGGAATGTGGAGTTAACCAGGGCTATTGACTGTTTGGCTCCGAAGTGCCCTCTCCGATTGCATGGAGCCCGGACAGCCCCGTGGTTTTCCATGGATCTGAGGGCAATGGAACAATCGTTGAGACGGCTAGAGCACCTGTGGCGGATAACTCATTCCGAATCTGACCGGACACAGGTTAGAGCTCAACGTCGAGCCTACCAAGTGGCGATAGCGACGGCGAAGAAGAATTTCTTCACCGCCTCTATTGCATCTGCAGAAAACAGCAGCAGGAGACTTTTTCAGGTGGTTCACAATTTAGCGGAACCACCTGCAACATTGGGGCCCAGTACGGGCCACATGTTCTCCTGCAATGATTTAGCAAAGTTTTTTGCAGATAAAATCGCTCAGATTCGGGAAGAAGTAGACTCCACCATGGGAGCAGGGCCGGGGTGGGAGAGTGCTAGAGTCCTGTCTAGTCAAATTGCATGGGATCAATTCCAATCTGTTACCTCTGAGGATGTGGACAGGCTGCTTGGACGAGTGAAGCCAACCACCTGTCTCCTGGATCCTTGCCCATCCTGGCTTATAAAAGCTAGCCGGGAAGGACTGGGCGATGGGCTTCGTGGGGTGGTGAATGCTTCCCTCCGTGAGGGAGCCTTCCCAGACCCGCTGAAAGAGGCGGTTATTAAAGCGCTTCTTAAAAAACCATCTTTTGATGCAGCCACGATGGCCAACTATCGCCCAGTCTCAAATCTTCCATTCTTGGGCAAGGTGATTGAGTGAGTGGTTGCTGAACAACTCCAGGCACGCCTGGAAGAAGCGGACCATTTGGACCCCTTCCAGTCGGGATTCAGGCCTCATCATGGGACTGAAACTGCCTTGGTCGCACTGGTTGATGATCTCCGGCGGGCTAGGGACAAAGGTGAGAGCTGGATCTCTCAGCGGTGTTTGATACCATCGACCATAACATCCTTCTGGACCGTCTTGAGGGGCTGGGAGCTGGGGGCACTGTCATACAGTGGTTCCGCTCCTTCCTCCTGGGCTGTGTTCAGAAAGTGGGGGGGGGTGAGTGTTCAGACCCCTGGGCTCTCACTTGTGGGGTGCCTCAGGGTTCTGTCCTCTCCCCCATGCTTTTCAACATTTACATGCAGCCGCTGGGAGAGATCATCAGGAGGTTTGGGCTGGGTGTTCATCAGTATGCAGATGATACCCAGCTCTACCTCTCTTTTAAATCAGAACCAGTGAAGGCGGTGAAGGTCCTGTGTGAGTGTCTGGAGGCGGTTGCAGGATGGATGGCGGCTAACAGATTGAGGTTAAATCCTGACAAGACAGAAGTACTGTTTTTGGGGGACAGGAGGCGGGCAGGTGTGGAGGATTCCCTGGTCCTGAATGGGGTAATTGTGCCCCTGAAGGACCAGGTGCGCAGCCTGGGAGTCATTTTGGACTCACAGCTGTCCATGGAGGCACAGGTCAAATCTGTGTCCAGGGCAGCTGTTTACCAGCTCCATCTGGTAAGTAGGCTGAGATCTGCCTGTGGACTGTCTCGCCAGAGTGGTGCATGCTCTGGTTATCTCCCGCTTGGACTACTGCAATGCGCTCTACGTGGGGCTACCTTTGAAGGTGACTCGGAAACTACAACTAATCCAGAATGCGGCAGCTAGACTGGTGACTGTGGCGGCCGCCGAGACCATATAACACCGGTCTTGAAAGACCTACATTGGCTCCCAGTACGTTTCCGAGCACAATTCAAAGTGTTGGTGCTGACCTTTAAAGCCCTAAACGGCCTCGGTCCAGTATACCTGAAGGAGTGTCTCCACCCCCACCGTTATTATTATTATTTACATATAAGCTAAAAAAGATCTCTCTTGGGGGCCCCCCAAAGCCGATCCAGCAAAAGATGCCAACTTATAGGACACCATAGCTGCAATCCTCAGCACAATTCCAATAATATTTCTGAATCTGGTTCTATGCATGCAGCAGAATACTGGGGTAAAGTCAAGACCTGGAAGAAGGGTCAGTGCCAATTAAAACTGGAGCTAGAACCACTTTTGAATGTTCTCCCATGTTAAAAAAAGCCACACCCCAAAATAAACACTTCCTTGCCAGAAGAATACTAGCATAGAAGGGGGAAAGGTTCAAGCCAGTCATCTAGCTGCTCTCTTTGTTTTCTACCTACAGGGAGAGATTTGGGGCGGGGAATGGGACCAGTGATAATGAGATTGGTGCCTGAAGGTCCCATAGAATGCCTACATTTTTCTGATGAATTTAGAATGCTAGTGAGATCATTGGTGGTACCACTATTGCTCTTAAAACTGGTTAATTGTTGCTACAATTCTATTGTTAAGTTGACAACAGTTACGAAAGAAGTGCAGATTAGCCATACTTAGTCAGTGCTGGCAGTGATGTCTAAAAAATTCCTGATTTTATCTGTTTCGGATACATTATTTATTCCACTGCACTTTGCTATTTTTCTCATTGTAACAGGTTATTGTTCCATCTATATCAGTAGTCTGAATTTTCCAAGACAAGTTTACCAGTTATGTCATTGTGTTAAGTGCTTTAAAATGACAGCGATGCAGTGTGAAGAATATTTGAAGAAAAGAATATAGATATAGACCGAGAAGTTTAATCCATCATTACTATAGTTGTTGAAATCTCAAATGGCATTTGATTTTATCCTGAGCTGTTTATATACAAATCAGTGGTTCTCAATCTTCTTTTCCCATGGGCCACTTCCAAATTACTGCAGGTCTTCATGAACCACTTAATGGTTGTTGTTTTTCTGCCTGTTGTAGCAGTTGTGCTAACTCCAGGAGGATTTTTAATTGTATTTTTGCAGGCATATGACAGACCACCTTGTGGACCACTGATAGTCCATTGACTGCAGTTTAAGAACCCCTGGTGTAAATCATACTGCAGCAGAAAGTTTTATACATATGTATATCAGAGATTTGATTATATTTTTAGTGAACAGAAGGGGCATATGTTTTCTATACACACACTGGATCTTTGTATTTTAAAGCAAAAACCTGCTGTTTTGATAAGACGCCTATTGATCAAAGCAATTAATAGCTGATAATAGCTGAATTGGGCATTTCTTTGGAAAAGTCACTTTTACCATCCTATGTATAATGCTTAGAAGGATTTTGTTCCTTCCTCATCTTTTTTCACATCAATAGCGCATGATGAGATCCCAAATGACTGCTACTATTCTCTGAGCAATCATTTGTAACTAGACTCTAATGTACAAATAACGCGTCATTTCTTCTCTATCTTTGATGATAGAAATGGGATCCCTAATTTATGTTTTTTGTGCTGCCCCCCTCCGCTCTAAAAATTCGCCACTATTAAGTGGCACTTTCTTGGTACAAGGAAATAGGTGTGTGATCAAAGATCTTCCCGTTTGCTGATACATTATTTCATACATGTGGAGATTTGAGCCAGAACTGCTTTTATTATCCTTCTCTGACACAAACAGGATCCATAGCGTATCCTGACATTATTTCCAGAGGGAACCATTTGTGAACTGTGGTTTGGCATGATTATAATATCATTTTTAGCACATTTCACCACCATCAGCCAGCCCAAATGCAATGGCTAGCACTACAAGATACAAACAAGTGCAATTTCTGTTTGGTTTTTAAAGCAAATTATCTGTTATTGAGCAGCAGGAAATGTGCTTTCCTACAAATGGGTATGTTATAAAGATAATTATTATTTGGGCGTAATTCTTGAACACAGAATAAGGTTTCAGAAACCATAAAAAGCTTCATCTTTAAAGCATGCCAAACAAAACTGGGTTTATGAGTGGTGTGTGGGAGCTCCCCTTTACTAACTTCATCGCAGGAAAAGGCCAAAATATGGTATCAGTTCTGTGAAACAGGAGAAGATCCTTCAGTGTTACTCAAGAGTATCATGGGCATTTCATCTTGATTAGACTTATTATCAGCCTACCATTCTCAACATGAAGGGGAGTTCATATGGTTGCATTTTAATGAAAGCAACCTAATTTTCTTCTCCTGACCACATGGGTCAAAACATAATTATCATTTGGATTTTGCACTTCACCAGATTTTCAGTACAGTTCTTGGCTCAAAAAAAAAAAAAAAAAAAAAGCCAAAATGCATCAAAATGTGTACAATATTTAAAAAATTCATAATGGATTTCTTTTTGTACAGAGTGGTTTTTAAAAAAATAGATAAATAAATCACTGATTGAGGCGGAAGTCAGAAAAGGAAGAATGCTAAGAATGTATCTTGTGCTCTTGTGATATAGACTTGGTGGGTTGATTTCATGTATTTCTTCAGCTGAAATTAAATGGAAGAAAAGTCGTAACTCTCTAAATTAAAGGAGCCTTGATCTGAATTTAATCAGCACTTTGAATTGTGCTCACATTAGCAGGCATCACTATATACAGCTACAATGCAGTATATGGATATATTACATGCGACATTCAAATAGCTCGTGAGTTTGAGAAACCTTTATGCCTTGTTTTATATTACAAAAACATTGCCTCTGTCCTCTGTCAATTTAAATATTTTACAAGGCAACTTGTATTTCTCAGAGGCAAAAGAGAAGCAATCTATGTCCCTGTGTTAGAGATGGTGCATTGAAAAAGAACCCAATGATTACAAAGCCAGAAGCAAAATGTTTCCCACTTGTTTTTAGTGCCATTTGCATTGGGAAAGCAATTGTAAGCCAGTTTAAGCCATAGGATGCTAATGGTCTCTTCATCATTTTCTTATTAAATGTGCCCTTTCCTTGAGAAAAACAGTTGGCTTGGCTGGCTGTTAAATTGCATGCTGCCTTTTCCCCTACCCCTATTTCGTTATGTTAAAACACCTGAAGGCATTGGCCATTTCATATAAACACTCTGCTGTTGTTTATTTTGCAGGCTCTACCTGAGGGGCAGACAGCATCTTGGGATACAGCCAAAGAAGATGAAAACCGCAATAAGAATAGATATGGCAACATCATCTCCTGTAGGTGCAAATTCAAACTGAACTGAACTTCCTGTGTGTATCTGTAAACATCTAGCTGAGAGAGGGGGTATGTCTGTCAGCGTAACTGTGAAAAGGAATAAGAGCACAGAATTCTGAGCACTCTTAACCTTTCCTGTTTGATAATTTCATGCTCAAGTTTTTTTGTTGCCATTCTCACCCCCTTCCTCTCCACTTTTTCTCCCTTTATCTTTCTAATATTATGGGATTCTTATTTTTCTCAATGAACTGCAATCCCAAAGCCCTGTCCTTTCTTTCCCTTCCCAAATATAATAGGTTATGTATGAAAATGGGGGGGGGGGATGGTCTCAGGGCTGAAGGTTCTTCTTCTCTCCATGTAGAACATTTGAAGAGGGTTCTGCACATATCCCCCTTCATGTGATCATCAACTCTGTTTTTGATTTTGTTTTTTTGCTGGGTAAACAGACCTGCTGACTGCATTAAATAGCCCTCTGCATGTGCACAGGGCTGTCTTTACATATTCTAAAGATTTGGGAATATGTCCATCACCACAGGCTATTATTTCTCCTATGCGCTTTTGCAAAAGCCGTACAATATCTGAAAACAGCAGGGATAGGGGGAAATGTGCTTCTAGACGTTGTTGGACTTCAGCTTCCACCATGCCTAGCCGGCGTAGTCAATGATAATGGATGATGGGAATTTTGGTCTCAACACCCGGACAGTCACAGGTTCACAGACCTAGAAGAGTCTTTCATAACATGGGTTGTAACCAGCTTAGACACTGAACGAGCAGAACAACTTCCACTTGTGCAACTGAACTTTCTGTTCTTCTTCTCTGCCCCACATGCTCTCCACACACACACCCCATCTGCAAATCTGGAGAGAGGGGAGAAGAGGAAAAGCAAAATTTTGTGCAATGACTTCATTAAATACAACCCGAAGAAGAGTTGAAACTCAGTTGTGGCCTTGATTACAGAGAATTGTGGCTTTAGACTAATGGTCAGAAGTTTGTGGGACACAGAACAATACTTGTTTTTTCCTTCAGTGCTCCTATTTTCCTTCAATGCTCCTATTTTCAAGCCTTTTCCTGACCTTTAATTGGCACAGATTCTTTCTTTGAACCAAAACCTGAAGCATTCGTCTTCATGGCTTTACATGACAGGGAGCGCCAAGGGGCTAAATGTACACATACTTTCTCATTTTATCTCCTTTCACCATTTGTTGGCATTATCTATACATATTGGAAGCTATTGCTTGTGACAAACACTTCTAGCTCCAGTGCTCTTCACTCCTAAAAGTGCCTGGGCCTTAAGGGACAGGTTTATCACCTCGCTTACAGATAAATGGCGAGCACAAAATCTCTAGGTACTAATCACATCGGCTACTTCGTCTTCCTTGCTGTGGATTCTGACTGAGGAAGCACGGGGCATCTGCAAATACCAGGTGGAATATAATGATCCTCAAGCAATAAACTTAGGTGAATTCACCAGGGAGGAATCAAATCCAAGAAGAATTGAAAAGTTAAGAACTCGAAAGCAGCGAAAAGGAAACTTAGGCCAAGAGGAAAACTATTAGGTTCCCTCCTGTACTGGGCTGCTGTGCCTTTCTTTTGTTGTTTAGTCGTTTAGTTGTGTCCGACTAATGGAAATAATAATAATAATAATAATAATAATAATAATAATAATAATAATTTTTATTTATACCCCGCCCTCCCCAGCCAAGGCTGGGCTCAGGGTGGCTAACTAGCAATAATAAAAACAGGAAAGGAGACTTCTACCTGGTGCAGCTTGCACCACACTTGCAAAATATATTTATTCCTACAGACTATTTGTTTTTCATGCTGAATTTGGTGACTCTAGTACTCAAGCCTTGTGTGTGGCATTGCCACACCCTCCAACACTTCTCTGATTAAAATAGGGACATCCCATTCCATAATGATAACTTTAATATTTATACTCCACACATCTTTCTGGGTTGCCCCAGCCGCTCTGGGCGGCTTCCAACATATTTAAAAATTATAATAAAAAAATAACCATTTAAAAACTTCCATATACAGGATTGCCTTCAGATGGCATGGGGGTCAGATAACTCCATACCCTCCAACATTTCTCCAGTGAAAATAGGGACATCCTAAGGAAAAGTAGGACATTCCAGGATCACATCAGAAACTGGGACGGCTTCTCTAAATCAAGGATGTCCCTGGAAAATAGTAACACTTGGGGAGTCTGCATTACTAGCAGGCTCAATCCTTAAATGGGACTGGTCCTATTCACATTGAGTTCCACATACTCACTGGAGCACAACACTGCTTTCAGTTGCAGGATTTATCTGGCTTTCACAAAAGACACTCCCTCGCTCCCTTAATTATAAAACATTTCTATATAGCATTTACGTTTTTTAGCACTGCTGCAATGATTGATGATCCTGAGTTTGTGATCTCGAGAATTTGTTGTGCATGTGCAATGAGGCTTCCTATCAGCAGCACCACAACAACACATAGCTTCACAAGCAGCACCTGAAACTTCTCTAAAACACAGAAAATGCCCTCATAGCAAATTTCAATAAAGCTAATAATAATAATAATAATTTTATTATTTATACCCCGCCCATCTGGCTGGGTTTCCAGTGAACAATCGGAATTATAAAAGGAACAACAATGATAACAACAATACTATCGCAGCTATTTGCAAGTTAGGATTAGTGGTACAGGGCTGAAGAGCGAAGTGGAAGATACACGTATCTAGCAGTTGGTGTGATGATTGAACAGTCTTTTCGCATGCGTCATTTTTCAGTATCTCAACCTCTTTTCTGTTCCCGCTGTTCCACTGAAAGTCATCAGTTATTAATAATACATAAACGCCTTGCAGCCTTATGAAATATATGTATCTTCCCAACACCTTCCAAACAGATAGAAATATAAAATTTAAAAGATAAGTTATGCTGTTAGTCTTAACCAAGCATAGCCCACTAAAAATATGAATAAAATAAAAGGCCTCATTACCTTCTGAAAGTTGAGCTGTGGTCGTTTATATTTCTTAGCCTTGCTTTCGAAGCAAAGGGTTCTCCCATGCCATTCACACTTTTGAGCAAAAGAACTCCCCACGGGAGATAAAACATTGTGAATGTTGCAATGTTCAGTCACTTGGCAACAAAATTAACCACCCAGAACTGTTGAAAACCAAACAGGACACAAACATTTGAAAATCTCCTTCATTGTCAGAATTATTTTCTAAGTTCAGGATAGCATCTTAAATAATCTCGCAAATGTTTTCCCCAACATTACAGATTTCCACTTGTCTCACCATAAAGCTACAGCTCTCCATCCATATATATATATGCCTACTAACAATCTATTTATCCATCCTGGCATTCTGATGCTTTCTTTCTCCCTTTCTATTCTCTCTTGTATCCCATCTTCTGCATAGTAGCACAGGAGCCAAAGTCTATTTTTTAAATTAAAAAAACCACTCTGCACACCACATCATTGTAGATGCATGAACAAATGAGTTCTAATAATCAGCCTATGGAAAAAACCTGAATCCTAATAATTTTCATCTATCTTCATTGTGCTATGAATTATCTTCCCAGCTCTATATCTACCTCATTTAACAACAAGTGTTTTAGCTTGCACCAAGCAGGCTGTTTATAAAAAAAATAAAAATATGGAATATCCCTAGCCTGCCTAGAGATAATTCTTATGCAAAAAAGTTTGCTTTTTGTGTCTAATTCAACTGCTTTTCTGCAACGATTCAGCTGTACAATCCAGTCAAGATGTTACAAAAGGTGCTAGTTTTTCAGAACTTTTTGAAGGAAATATTAAGACCAAGAAGTGTGTTAATTAGATCAGAAATCATACTATGGGTGTCTGAAAAATGTGAATTTTATGAGTTCAAATAAATAACAGACAAGCTTCTGAATAACTCAGGCAGGCATTGAGTTGAAGCAATGTGCATTTAGCAGTTGAAGAAACATCAGTTAGTGTTGAAAATCCTTTCAGCCTGAATCTTCTATGTTCTTTCTTCTTTCTGCTGTTCCTATTTTCTTTGATACATATGTTCCTGCCTTCAAGTAACAAAACAACATATTTTCTTTGATTATTTTCAGATGATCACTCCAGAGTGAGACTGCAATTGCTGGAAGGAGATCCCCATTCAGACTACATAAATGCCAACTATATAGATGTAAGTGCTATGGAAACTTTTAAGGATCTTAATGGTGGGTGGGTGGAGTAAGTGAGATGATAATGTTTGTTCTTGGATCAATGCCTTGAAGTAAAATACAATTTGGAGCCTCCAAGACTTTTTTTTACAAGCTGTAACTTTTCAGTCCCACCTGAAATAATCCTTTGAAATGCTTGCAACATTCCAAAATGCACAGTGATTTTATCAAAGCCCCAGCCCCGTGCAAATGTAGTGACTTCCTGATCTCCTGACCAGGATATTTAGATCAGAAACAAGCTCCCTTCTGTTGCGTCTCTTGTATCTATTTGTTCTCTATAACTAGCATATGCAAAGTGTGAATTGACATAGTAGTCATTTTTGTCTAATGGAAAGCAGGAGACAGTGGGAGATTGTGATTTACAGTGCAATGGTCCCGCCTCACATTATTTGTTTTAGGAAAGAGGAAGCAGCCGGACCAGGTTAGATTATTTGTTCATCTAGGCTGGTATTGTTTAGTCTGAAAGGCAGCAACTCTAGGGTCTCAAACAGGTTTTTTGTTTGGGGGGTTTTAAGATTACCTGTCAGTTTATCATTTTTAAATGGAACAAGGCCATAGCTTAGTGGTGGAGCACATGCTTTCCATGTAGAAATCCCAGGTTCAGTCCTTGCTATTACTATAAAAAAAATCAGGTAACAAGTGATGGGAAAGAGCTCTTCTTGAACCCATAGAACAAGTGTGGAGAACCTTTGGCCCTCCAGGTGTTGCTGAACAACTCCCATATTCATCACCTTCATCATCATCTATTAAATTTGTATACCACCTGTCAGGGGTTCAGGGACAGAGGCACAGGGTAGGCAGGAGATGGAGAGCGATGGGGATGAATCCCAGGACAGCGAGGAAGAGGAAGACAATTACTCAAGAGATTCCATGAGTCTTTCCAGCGAATCAGAGGATTCCCAGAAGGGGGCGCCGGTGGTCAAGCCCAGGGGAGCCCCAGGGGGGACGTGTCAGGAGCAGGGGGCCAGCTGGGCATCCCAAAGCGGCAGCTGGGTGTCAGGACCAGCCTCCCCGCCAGAGTGCAGCTTCATTTGAAGATCACAGGATGGTTCACAACATAAAAATACAAAATGAGAACACAAAATGCATGATAAAAAAACAAACAAAACAAAACCAATAGCTCACCTCCTACAAAGACATTTTAAAAGGCCGTAGCATGTTTAATTAGCCCAAGGCATGGTTATAAAGAAATATTTTTTGCCTGGCACATAAGGGTGTGCAATGAAGTCACCAGGTGAGCCTCCCTGGGAAGAGCATTCCACAAATGGGGAGCCACTGCAGAAAAGGCCCCTTCTTGTGTGGCTGCCTTCCGGGCTCTCATGGAGTGGGCACATAAAGAAAGGCCTCAGAAGATGATTGTAGGGTCCAGGTCAGTGCACATGGAGAGTGGCAGTCCATGAGGTATGGCAGCCCTGAGCCATTTAAGGCTTGAATAGGGCCCAGAAACTAATTGGCAGCCAGTGCAGTAGGGCTAGGATTGGTGTTATATGCTCAAACCACCTTGCCCCAGTGAGCAACCTGGCCCCTGAATTCTGCACCAGCTGAAGTTTCCAAACCGTCTCCAGCGGCAGCCGCATGTATAATGTGTTGCAGTAATCTAACCTAGTGGTTACCAGAGCATATATGACATAAATTAGGCTATCCCTGTCCATATAGGGGTGCAGCTGGGTCACCAGCTGAAGCTGATGAAACCAGAAATACCTCTTATCTATGTACCTGCTCCTTCAGAGGTGTGTAACCCCATCAAGAGCAGGCAGCCCCCCATCCAATCCCATCCAATCCCCTTTAACAGTGCCTCTGCCTTATTGGGATTGAGCTTTAGTTTGTTGGCTCTTGTCTAGTCCACTAACAAGGCAAGACACTGGTGCAGCACTTCCACTGCCTCACCTGCAGATGTAAAGGAGAAATAGAGCTGTGTGTCATCCGCATACTGCTGAGCACATGCCCTCAGACCCCTGGCCATTGGTCATGCTTGCTGGGAATGATGGGAGTTGTAGATCAGCAACAACTGAAGGGCCACAGGTTCTCCATAGCTGCTCTATAAAACAACTTCCTGTGTTCGTATGATTAAACCTGGAACTTGTTGTGTTCTAGGCATATGCCCAATTGTCGAGCAATGGTCCCTTCCAAACACTACAGAGACAAGAGCAACTATGTCTAATACAATGTCTAGTTTGGCTTTGAACTCAATGGGACTTTTCTACCAAGAAACAAAACAATCCAACTCATCAGGTTGTGTGTTTGGGTTGTTCAACTGAGTGGGAGGGGTGGCTAACACCCAAGAGGACAGGATCACACTTCAAAACGACCTTGACAGATTAGAGAACTGGGCCAAAACAAACAAGATGAATTTTAACAGGGAGAAATGTAAAGTATTGCACTTGGGCAAAAAATGAGAGGCACAAATACAAGATGGGGGACACCTGGCTTGAGAGCAGTACATGTGAAAGGATCTAGGAGTCTTGGTTGACCACAAACTTGACATGAGCCAACAGTGTGACGCGGCAACTAAAAAAGCCAATGCAATTCTGGGCTGCATCAATAGGAGTATAGCATCTAGATCAAGGGAAGTAATAGTGCCACTGGTCAGACCTCACCTGGAGTACTGTGTCCAGTTCTGGGCACCACAGTTCAAGAAGGACACTGACAAACTGGAACGTGTCCAGAGGAGGGCAACCAAAATGGTCAAAGGCCTGGAAACGATGCCTTATGAGGAACGGCTAAGGGAGCTGGGCATGTTTAGCCTGGAGAAGAGGAGGTTAAGGGGTGATATGATAGCCATGTTCAAATATATAAAAAGATGTCACATAGAGGAGGGAGAAAGGTTGTTTTCTGCTGCTCCAGAGAAGCGGACACGGAGCAATGGATCCAAACTACAAGAAAGAAGATTCCACCTAAACATTAGGAAGAACTTCCTGACAGTAAGAGCTGTTTGACAGTGGAATTTGCTGCCAAGGAGTGTGGTGGAGTCTCCTTCTTTGGAGGTCTTTAAGCAGAGGCTTGACAACCATATGTCAGGAGTGCTCTGATGGTGTTTCCTGCTTGGCAGGGGGTTGGACTCGATGGCCCTTGTGGTCTCTTCCAACTCTATGATTCTATGATTCTATGATTCTATGGAAGTGTCCCTCTGCTCACGTCTGTCGCTTTCACAGCCATCAGATGTCCTGGGCTTGACACAGACCTGATCACTGCACCGTCCTGGCACTGAGATTAGGCTCAGTTATTTGCTCCCCTCTAACTGCCACTGAAGTTGCAGAGAATTGCAGAGCTATGGGATGCTGGGGGGTGGGGTGCGGAGTGGGGAGTGGGGAGTTTGGCTTGTGCCCTAAGTATGCAGCTTAGTATTTTGAAGCACAGGGCGGGCATGTAACCACTTGTATGCATCCTGATAATGTATAGCAATGGAAAGAAGGATGCAGACATCGTTTTGAACACTTTCCATCTCATTAATAGAGAGCTGTGGATTCATGACTAAATGGAAAATGTATTAAGCAAAGTATTTAATAGCAGTCCTGTTTCTAATGTAAGTCTCTTTAATCCTTAATGATATCACAATATTTTAAAGAGATCCTTCAATTAAGGGAAAGGAAAAACATATTTAATATAGAGCAACCCACACAGTTTTAAAAATCACTGATGCCTGAGTCAGTTTTGACAAGAAACAGATGTGTTGTTTTCAGATGAGGGGACACAGATTTCTCCATGTTCAATCTATTAATGACTAAGTAAGTAAGTCTTCCTAAAGTGAAAGCAGTTTTAATAGAAAATATGAAAATGGAAGATCTGGCTTTCATGTTTGCAAGGTCACATAGGGTGATGTTCCCTACTGGTCCTACTCAGAGTAGACCCTTTGAAGTTAATGGGCATAAGTAACTTAGGATCATTAATGTCAGGAGGTCTACTCTGAGCAGGACTTGATTGAATAAAACCATTCTCCCCTCCCTTTCTTGCTTTTGAAATATAAATTTTCACGACAGTATTCACGAATTTTCACGACAGTAAGAAACATTGAAGCAGTTCCTGTGATGAGTTTACTGAATCATCAATGATACCGTGTGCTTTGGCAGCCTCATTTGAAGGCCAACAGATAGACGGTGAAGTGGGAAGCGCGTCAGCAGTAGAGATGCTGGTGAATCGTGCTCCATCCCAGCTCAACTTTGACCTTTGGGAGCCTGTATGTCTCACCTTAAAGGGCCATAGATTGATCTTCACCTGAGATTTAGAAGCTAAAGAATCATTCCCACCCTTTTCCCACCCTGCTTTTCCCACTCTCCCACCACACTCCTCCCCTCAATCCCCACCCATCACTTACAATTAAACCACATTTACTGAGCAATTACAAGCAGCATTGGACCTCTGACCATAGATAGACAGTTCTCCTATCTCTGGCACCTGTGCTCTATGTAGAAATGAACCACAATGCAGTGTTCTTGTATTTCTTGGGAAATGTCGTTTACACAGTATAGTAGCATACACAATGCTCCAGGTAGCTAAGGAGGGAGGGTTCCCCCTTCCCTCTCCCCACCGCAGAGCACTACTTCTCTTTCAGATGAACATTGATGTGCATGGTACCAAGCAAGCTTCTAACCTTATAGATGCATATCTGAAGTGCCCCTGAGATGGTAGCCTACAGAATTCCCTTCTTTTGTTTTCTTTGCAGGGTTACCATCGGCCTCACCATTACATTGCAACTCAAGGCAAGTATAGCGAAACCACTCAGTTGTCCAAATAAACATTTAAAAATAAATACATAATAATTGACCTAAAGATTTCTAGAAGTGATCTGTTGAGATTAATCAGTAATAAAGGCACATTCACAATTCTAGGTTTCTGCATTGATTAATGTATTTTTTAATGAAATAAAATAAAATCTGAATGGATGGCTAGTGGATGAATGGTGTTCATATTTGTGCAAATGTCTGTGGTAGAAAGACAGAATAAATAGATGATGAGTGGTGTCTCAGAGAGAAAACTGGTGTCCCTGCCTACTTTGACTTTGACTTTGCCCATTCTTCGGCTTTGACCCTGACATGACCAGCTCCGATCGCACTGGTCATCAATGTCTGTGGCCCTTCACTTTTGTTTAATTGAAAAAATGAATTCTTGGTGTACACAAGCAGATCTCCCTCTTTTGCTAGGTCAATCTACAATAGCAGTGAGCACTGTTTTCTCCTGCCAGTGGTAATGATCTGTCTGCTCCCAATGTAGATATTTATTTCCCCCTTGTTTTGGAGGTAGATCTTCACTCACCCCTTCTTCCATGGTGGGTGGTTCACCTCAGGTGTCAACATTTCTTGGGCTGGCCCTGGATTACTCTCAAATGAGTATAACAGGTGTGGGGAACGTGTGGCTCTTCAGATGTTGCTGCACCCCAACTCACATCAAACCCAGCAGCATGGTCAATGGTCAAGGATGATGGAATTTATAATCCAGCAACATCTGAAGGAGCCCATGTTCTCCTTCCCTGTTATACAGATTATATATTCATATAACAGATCAATGCAGCTACTGTTCTGGAAAGCAATTCCTTTCTGACTTTAGTACGTTATTGTCAGAAGTGCGGACCACTGGGGGAGGCAATAATAATAATAATAATAATAATAATAATAATAATAATAATAAATTTTATTTATATCCTGCCCTCCCCAGCTGAAGCCGGGCTCAGGGCGGCTAACAACACTAAAATAGTGCAGCATTATAAAAACCTTATAAAAATTAATTAAAATCAAAATTGATGGCAACCATAAACTAAAGTTCTGTAAAGATTGCCAAAGGAGGGAGTCAGGCTGCGCCCTGACCAAAATCCTGGTGGAACAGCTCTGTCTTGCAGGCCCTGTGGAAAAATGTCAAGTCCTGCAGGGCCCTTGTCTCTTGTGACAGAGCGTTCCACCAGGTTGGAGCCGCAGCCGAAAAAGCCCTGGCTTTAATTGAGGCCAGCCTAACATCTCTGTGGCCTGGGACCTTCAAGATGTTTTTATTTGAAGACCGTAAGTTCCTCTGTGGGGCATACCAGGAGAGGCGGTCCCGTAGGTACGAGGGTCCTAGGCCGTATAGGGCTTTAATGGTTAAAACCAGCACCTTACACCTGATCCTGTACTCCACCGGGAGCCAGTGCAGCTGGTATAGACATAAGGAGGAAATAAACAATCTGACGGGATGAAGAAATGGACAACTTTAGGAGGCATCAAAGGCCACACTGAGATGGGGGCCATAGGTTGCCCATCTGTGATCTACAAGAAATGAAATGATACAAAATCTCAGAGCTTGAAGGATAATTTGTCTTCTGCTACAGAAGCACACACTGTATCATAACTGGAAGATGGCAGAAAAAGCCTGTTTGGTTTATGTCACTCCAGAAAGCAGAGACTAAAGAGATTGGTATCCCTGCAGCCTACACATGAGAAAAGTTTTAAAGCTCCAAGAGGCAGGCTGATAAAGCTGAGTAGAGACTATAGATTTTTGAAGACTCTTTAATGTGGTGTGATAGATCTTTCGCTGCCCACTGCTATATACATTCAATAAACAACAAGAGCTGTTTCTGATCAGAGGCCACAACAGGGAAAAGAAAATGAATATGTATACTCACGGGCACCAGGATTTCTTACTACCTTCAAGTCTCCAAAAATCTATCTTTTATACATTTGCTGAAAAGGAACAATCTACAAAAATATACCTGAATTTCTCGGGCTGTTATTGGAGTGGGTGATTCATTTTTATTACAAACTGAACTTTTAGTGAGCCCATTCAAGGGGACCCACAATGATGCTTTTGATTAAGGAAAATAATCCAACTTTTTGCCTTTGATTTGAACAATCAAAGGAAGCCCTTTTCAAGCCACAATATTCTTAGCACTACGTTTCAGTACTGTTAACGATACTTTCAAAAATAAAGTAATGCAGGACAAAGTCATAAATATGAAAAGAAGCATCTAGCAACATATCCAAGGGGAGGCAGCTTTCTGTTAAATGCCACACATTTTAATAATTAAACAACAATTAAGTTGTGACCCAGAAGTGTTAGGTTGATTCCAATGAAGTCTTTGTACAAGTGGAATGACTTCTGTTCATGCAATAGAAGACCTCACCTCACCCAATTTCACCTCACACATGCTCAATATGTTCTGGAGAGCCCCCAACCTTTTGGAGCAGATTTGAGGGAGACAAGGTGGAAAGAAATGAAAGGAAAGTGATGAGCACTGACTTTGTTGGATTGAACCCACTATCACCAAAAATCTCATCAAGTAACTTGGGATTCTAGCCCTCATGTTTATCTAGTAATTACCCTTCCCAGGCCCAGCACTGTAGATTTTATTTTGAGTTGTGTCTTCACTTCCTTCCTCATTTGTCTCCTCCATGGCTCCAAATTGAGCTACCAGTGTATCATTTTACATTCTGATCACTTCATTGATTTAAAAGTTTTGTCACTCAAGAAAACACACAGGCAGTCCAGTCCACGCTTTAGGAGGTTTGGCCTTTCAGCTGCGGTGGAGAAAGAAATGGATTGTGCTGCAATCAGCACATGGATGTGCATTCTCTCTCACACACTTCTTTTCGCCCTCAGGACCAATGCAAGAGACGGTCAAGGATTTTTGGAGAATGATCTGGCAGGAGAACTCTGCAAGCGTAGTCATGGTCACGAACCTGGTGGAAGTTGGCAGGGTAGGATGACGATTGTTCAAAGCAAATGTGGGGACAGATCTTTGTCTCCTCACACTTTGACAGATGGACAGGGCAACCAACATATCAAAGCATTGACCTGCAAGGTGGGGGGGAAGGGTCTCCTTCACTGGAGGTTTTTAAACAGAAGTTGGATGGCCATCTGTCAGGGATTCTTTAGCTGTGATTCCTACATTGCAGGGGTTGGATTAGATGACTCTTGGGGTCCTTGCCAACCTATGGTTCTATTTGTAGCCATACATAATGTGCTAGCATTCAGCTTGTGATCTTTATTGTCATAGGTGAAGTGTGTCAGATACTGGCCTGATGATACAGAAGTCTATGGAGATATTAAAGTCACCCTAATTGAAACAGAGCCATTGGCAGAATATATCATACGCACTTTTACAGTTCAAAAGGTAAGGACACATTAGCCCTCCCCTCACCAGCAGATTCTTTTTCTTGCCACTAGGTCAAAGCTGTTCGACATTTCATTCAGATTACTGATGGGTAGCTACGGAGTTGCCAATACTATTTCTAAGTGTACTTGAGACAGCTTAAAGGAGGATAACACAGTCAGTGACAGCTGTATTCTACCCAGTGGCGTGCTATGGGGGGGCGGTGCATTCCGGGTGCCATGTCTAGGGGGGTGACAAGAAGGCACCCTGCGGGGGCTCGTTGGGCACAAGCAGCCATTGCGCAGCTGCAAGCAGAGGATCCCAGCGCCGGCAGGAAACCACTATGTACAGCACATGTGTGGCATCGCACACATGCACTTTACATAATGACGCCACACATGTGCTGTACATAGCGGTTTGCCACCAGCTCCGCTCGAACGCTGTACAGATGGCAGTGGGATCCCTCCAGTGCCGCTACAGCCGCATATAGAGTTCACGTCTGTAGCGGCGATGGAGGGATCCCGGCACCATCTGTACAGCACTGGAGCAGCGCCGCCAGCAAATCGCTATGTACAGCGCATATGTGGTGTTACTACATACGACGCATGTGTCGTATGTAGCACGCCGCACATGCGCCCTACGTAGCGATGCCCTGCCCCGGATGTCACGACGCCTTCATTCGCCCCGGATTCTACCTTCCAGAATCAGAGGCAGCATACCAGTTGCTAGATGGCACAAGCTGGCGCAACAGTTTTGCCCTTGCATCCTGCTTGTGGGTTTCCCACTGGCCTCTGGTGGGGCCACTGTGGGGAAATAGAACGCTAATCTACATAGGCCTTTAATCAGACAAGGGTCTACTTATTTCTTAAGCATTGTTCCTATATGATCAGAATGGTGATGGTTAACTTTTATTTGTATATCTCAGAGAGGTATAACCTCCTCTCAGATTTAGAAAATGTATACGTTTAGGCTTGTGTCCAATGCAGCACTAAGTAACCATCCCTTTTCTGCAAGGATTTATGCTTACGCAACAAGCCTTTCACTTCTCTCCCACACCTCTAATATGTTATGGGAGTTTCCCCAGCCATTTTGAAGCAGATTTGGAGAGGACACAGGACACATGCAGAGAGAGGAGAGGAGAAGCCATGTTGCACGAGTGTATACATTTGCACTGATGCGACAGTTACTTAGTGCTGCATTAGATATTAGCCCCCCGCTTTGTTCATTTTATACATTTCAATTAATTCAAGACAATAATATATTTTAGAAGCACAAGTACACACCAAAGAGCAGAAGAGAAACTTAAAAACAGAATTAAATTAGTGAAAACATTAAAAGAGTAGATAAAAAGGAAGACCACTGCCATTTTCACTATGTTAGGATTTTCTCAATTGTTATTCCTCATTTCACTTCTGTTATTAATTGGGAATGTAGCCTAACTGAATATGGTTCCCAATTGAAAGGCAGGGAGGCCTGGCATAATTGTGTACCATTTCTACTTTGGAAGGAGTCAGATCCTTTCATAGTCTGTTTTTTTAAAAAAATCCAGCTTGCTGTTGGGTAGGTTGCCAGTCCATTTCTCACTATGGCATAAATGTTCTCCATTCAAAGCTTGGACCAGCTTTCAACATATTTCTGCATGCAAAGGCTTAATCAGCTTGCTAGTGTTCATCTTGTTCCCCACACAAAGCCCTGATTGGACTCGGGCTATTGTGTATCCTTTCCTCTTCTGTGAAATTAACTGTTCAACATCTCCTGCTCAAATGAATCCATCATAACTGGTTGGAAACCTGTTGTTGTCTTAGAGCCATCAAAGTGGCTTTTTCAGTTTTTCTCCTCTACCATGAAAAGCTGTGTATACAAAGTATATATGAAATGTTTTTGGGTGGAATTGGGTTTAAAATGTGACACCATTGTAAAGAAGTGGCTGGTTGGGGTGGGTGGGAAGGGTAGATGGCAGAGAATTGATTGTGGTGGTGATGATGATACTACCATTACAGAAAAAACACTTGTTTTTTTGTATCCTTCTTAGAAAGGCTACCATGAGATCCGAGAGATCCGCCAATTCCATTTCACCAGCTGGCCAGACCATGGGGTTCCTTGTTATGCCACTGGCCTCTTGGGCTTTGTTCGACAAGTGAAGTTCCTCAATCCACCAGAGGCGGGGCCTATTGTTGTGCACTGCAGGTATGCCTTTAATTCTCTCCCTCACTTCTTTTCATCAATTTTCCTCCTGGTTGTGCTCATTCCCTTGGCCCAGAAGGCACTCCACCACCTTGCCCTAGGGGGTCATGGGAATGAATATTGTGCAGCCCAAATCCCTGCTTTATAACAGGATCCTCCCCCCAAATTTGCTTCATGCATTAGCCTACTGCAGATTAACCCCTATTAGGTAAGTGTGTCACAACCAAATGGGAGAGATGTGTGCTGTCACACAGAAGATGGAGCAAGCTTGTTTTCTCCTGCTCTTGGAGGGTAAGACCCAAACTAATGGATTCAAGTTAACAGAATGGAGATTCCAACTAAACATCAGGAAGAACTTTCTGACGGTAAGAGTGGAATGGACACTTTCAGAAGGTGGTGGACTCTCCTACCTTGGAGGTTTTTAAAGTAGAAGTTGGGTGGCCATCTGTCATGGGTGATTTAGTTGCAATTCCTGGACTAGATGACCCTCAGGGTCACTTCCAACTCTACAATTCTGTGATTTTGTGGTAGCCCCCTGCCTGAGGTGGTTGCTTCAGCCTTCCACATTGGTGGACCATCCTTGATTGTGCTACACATTTCTGAAGTCTTCCACTTGGAGGCTGGGTGGTGGAACTTACCCATAATAAGCTGCAAAGTTTAAAATAGACATCTTTCCTTCGCAACAGTTGTTTTAGAGGGGGACAACTTTTTTTTCTTTTCAGCCCAAGGGATGTGTTTCCTCATGGGCAACCTTTTGGGGTCTATATGCTTGTGGTGAGTGGGGCCAGGGACAAATGTGACAGAGCCAGAGGCAGAAGTGGGTGGAGCAATGGATGTAAATCTTCCCTCTGTATGCAAGATCGTTCCAGCCATACAAGACCCAGATTTATCTTCACACACACATTTCTCCGTCCTCATAAGCAAATGGCATTACCACAAGTTCAACAACACATTGCAGCCAGGCGAAACTCTCAAGGAGTGCACACAGTAAAGCCAAGGAAGAGGGTGGATGGCATGGAGAAAGTCTCAAGGGCTGGAATGAATGGTCTGATGGGTCATATTATTTCCCCAGGCCTGATGTTCCTCATCCCTATTTTAAAGCATGTCGATAGCTAGCTGCTGGTTCAGGTCATGCCCCTAGTGGCACTGATGAACCCGAACATTTGATTCCTTTTCTTTTTAATTTTAGTGATCAAATGACATTCCCTCCTTTTAAAAATTTAAATGACTAGCCCAAAGTAGTAATTACTAAATTTTCCCTAATGCTTCCTTGGACAGTATTACTGTCATTCAGTATTTATGAAGTGCAGGGTTCCTCTAAATATAGAAATCTTACAGCTATTTGTTATAATTTTGAATTGCAGGAAGAGAGTTAACGTTAGGGAAGGGCCATTTATTCACTAAGATTATTCATATTATTCCTTCCTAGCTGTCGATTGATCTGGGCCATTGATTCATTGCCATTAATGTTTCTCTGCTTTGCCCATACTTCCTGCATCTGAAATTTCTCATGCCTTTAGGAAAAAGAGAAAGACTTTCTAGTTTCTTCTGTTCTTTACAGATTGGGAGAAGGGAGATCTGTGATAAGGCTTGTATTTAGAGCCTAAACATTTGTTCATCCAAACCTGAGCTTTTGTGCCTGGGACAAGTAGCTGGTAGATGTTACTGGGACCTGTTGATGGTCCTGTGGATCAATGAAGGGTAGAGGTGGTGGCTGAGGGGTACAGCAGTCACCACTGTGGAAATGTGTGGTTGCTAGCAAACTTTTCTTTTCCTGGGGTGAATAGTCAATCAGCCACTGAATGCTTGCCCAGTATTGACTGAGGTGCAGCCACCACCACCTCCCAGCTACTACTGGTGCCACTTGCCAGCACTGATTGTCCCATAACAGCAGCCAGCGAATCCTATGAGTGGCCTTCTTCACCAGCCAGTAATAAGAAGCTACTTCAGCACCACTTCACTTCAGCACCGTATTCAAGGCTCTGTCTCAAAATCTGGTTTTCAGAAGCTCGTGTCTTGAATACTGGAATTAATATCAGATAGAGCATCCTGGGTAATGGCAGATCACATCACCCTCATCACAAAAAGGCAAACTACCAGACAGCCAGAATCCTTACAATATGTTGGTGCACTGCATGCCTTCAGATGATAGGTTTCTACATTTCAGTTAGAAGGTTTAGAAATTCCTCCCCACAGCGGGGAAGAAACAAATGCCCGCGAATACAAAATTAGCATGTTGGGGGAAAAGGTCTAGACCAGCAGTTCTCAACCTGTGGGTCCCTGGATGTTGTTGGACTACAAGTCCCATCATCCCTGAGCTCTGGCCTTGATAGCTAAGGGTGATGGGAGTTGTAGTTCAACAACATCTGGGGACCCACAGGTTGAGAAAGACTGCTCTAGCCCATATTGGCTGTGAGTCCTGAAAGACCTGCACCCTACCTTGCAGGCCTTTTTATACCTGGCCTGGGAGGATGGGGCCCTGACTGACTCCAGCTACAAAAGCCAAGGCTGCTGAACAGAGTCTTGGGCTGGGGTGCTGGTTGGGGAGGGGGGGTTGTTGAGGGGAAGGTTGTTGCTGTTTTGCTGTTTGATTTTTGATGTTTTAAAATACATTTTTAATTGATATCTATCAACTGGTTTTATTATCTTTTGCATGTTGTAATCCACCTTCAGTATACTATATAAAAGTGAGGCAATATTTAAACAAATAAATAAGTGCAAACATTACTGGACAGTCTTAATACCCCAGATACTCAGAACGGTGAGATGCTTGCTTTGAAATTTCTTGCGACCAGGTCTGGATATCCACCTGTATGATCTGAATAATTTCCATAGGCCAAAGATTAGAAGGAAACCACTAAGCATTGTCCAAATGTGTCTGTCTTGGAGAAAATAGAAGTTTGCTTTTAAAAAATGAAAAGCTGAAGAAAGACCCCTTTGAAATCTGACTTCAGAGTCTATCTCTCTCTCTCTCTGCTTGTCAACAGAAATGAGTTCCACACCTGCTGTTCCAAGCTGTTCAACATACATATGTGTTTTTGTTTTTAATTTAGTGTATTGCAGATAGTATGACTTGCTATCTTGGGTCTTCTTTTCCCTTTTGGTATTTTCTCCATTCTTTCTTTTAATATATCTCTGCTCCGTACCTTTTCCTGAAGTTTTCTAGCCTTGCCATCCCCAGAGAACTGGAGTGGCACTGCAGTGCTGTCCAGACCTTCAGGGCAAAGAGGGACTAATGAAGGAAGACAGCTGAATTTACAACGCTCATTCCCACCACCACCACTGAATGCTCTGCCTTTTCACGGTCCATTGATCTGGTCCCTGTTTCTCTCCCCCCCCCCCACCTCTCCTTCAGTGCTGGTGCTGGGAGGACAGGGTGCTTTATTGCCATTGACATCATGCTTGACATGGCAGAGAACGAAGGTGTGGTGGACATATTTAACTGTGTGCGGGAGCTGCGATCCCAGAGGGTCAACTTGGTGCAGACGGAGGTAGGTGTAAGGATGCATTTTTTTGCCTGTCAGCTTGTTTCCAAGAAACAGCTCCACACTACCAGATGGCTGTAGCCTATATAATGGAAGAAAAGGCAAACATGTGAGCGTATCTAGTATGCCGGCGAAGCCTGGTCAACTAATCCCTTGGTGCAATTTGTGGAATTATGTTGAAGGGTTTGCAAAGTGCCCCTAATTAGTGGGCCAGCAGATATAATCTATTAAATTTATATCCTGTGCCCTTCCTCTGGAAGGAGCCCAGGGTGGCAATAATCTATATTTATTTTTAATACAAGTACCTAAAAAAGCACAGGCTGCTGGCTCTATCTGAGAAGAGGCATTTCATGCACACATACAAGGAAATGTCTCATAATCTAGTGCCTGAATATGACATGCACATGCATCATTGAAAAACAAAGTCTGCTTTCATCACTGGAATCACACAGCGTAATTTGTAACGCACAAGCTAACATTAAACATCTATCATTAGCTTCCAAATCCATCTCACAAAGCTGCTGCTATTAAACCCACCAGTTTCCATTAATTGAAACACAGTCTGAACTATATCCAGCCTCTTTAAATTTCCCCAGCAATCATTCAATTCAAATCTACTTTTTAGCTGGGAAAATCTGAGGTGGCCATAGTCTTTGTTTTGCATTCAGCACCTGTAATCCAGGCAACTTCAAAATGAGAGATTTGACATGATCATCATCACAAATTCGTATACAGTGGTGCCCCGCAAGACGAATGCCTCGCAAGACGGAAAATCCGCTAGACGAAAGGGTTTTCCGTTTTGGAGTTGCTTCGCAGGACGAATTCCCCTATGGGCTTGCTTCGCAAGACGAAAATGTCTTGCGAGTCTTGAGAATTTTTTTTCGCTTTTCCCCCCCTTTATCTAATCTGCTAAGCCTTTAATAGCCTTTAATAGCCTTTTAGCAGCTAATCCCCTAAGCCTTTAAGCCTTTAATAGCCGCTAAACCGCTAATAGCGCTAATCCGTTAAGCCGCTAATAGGGTTGCTTCGCAAGACGAAAAAACCGCTAGACGAAGACTCTCGCGGAACGGATTAATTTTGTCTTGCGAGGCACCACTGTACATTATGTTCATCCCACCACTCACTAGAACCGGATGCCTTAAGTATTGGGTTACTTCACACATTACACCTCTTAGCCATACACATATTTTATATTTATACACCAAATGTAAGAGATTATTTTGACAAACAAGTTTTTGCAAACATATCACAATGCAGACATGTGGATCAAGGGTCAGCATCCTGTTGAACGTAAATATGGTGGCAAACCTGGGTTTGTCTCCACTGACATAAATAGTGAAATGGCCCTTTTAGAAAAAGCAGTTATGTTCTCAGTACAATCAATAATTAAAAACCAGGTAAAATATTTCATAGGTAGAATATGTCGCTGAATAAAAGTCTATGTCCACTTGTACGCCTTTGCTTAAGCATGTACACCAGGAATTGTAGTTACATGTTGTAGAATGTAAATTGCCATATGCATGAATGGTGCTATAGAAATAATTAACTGGGATCAGTTTTAATGCTGGAGATGGATTAAGATCCAGGCAAAACTTTGCCTATCATTCCACCTGCCCAAATGCTTTTTAAAATGTATCTGTTGCCCATGTTTTGACATGTGTTTGCCTTGGCATTGGGTTTGCTTTTATCCAGGAGGGGAAAACACACACACACAGTGATAAAATGCAAGCACTTCCCACTCCAGTTGGATGGTAGGAGTGTTTTGTTGACCCGAGAACTCTGAGAGGGAATGTTGAGCATTTCATTATTAAAGTAGGATGTGTAAGATTGATCCTGAGGAGACTGACAATGATCAATGTACAACTTCTTACTGCGTAGGAACAGTATGTCTTCGTTCATGATGCCATTCTAGAAGCATGCCTTTGTGGCAACACAGCCATCCCTGTTTGTGAATTCAGATCCATATACTACAACATCAGCAGACTGGATCCGCAGACGAATTCCAGCCAGATTAAAGATGAATTCCAGGTAAAATAAAAATAAAAATGCAGACCTTGTATTTTGTCAGTCATGGAATAGGTGATGACTGGCATGTCTCAAATTATAACAGGGTGCCAAGGATGCTCGCATGTATATTGTCAAAATGTCCACATTTGTCACCTCCCATGTATTAGGTACAAAAGAGAGTGTACATAGCTCACAATGGTATATAGTCAGATTATAGATTTTCCCTCCCTTCTGGGAATGTGGAAGCACCATTTATAATAAAAACACATGGTTCAGTAATGGAAACCAAAACAGGGTCAGGCTGAAAAGACAGTGGCTATTGGGAGGGACCCGTTGCATGGATATGTAAGTATGAACAAGTATGTTCATGTATGGGGAGTGGGGGAGAAATTTGAATCAATTCACATTGGAAGGCAAACCTACCTAGTTCACACTTTATGAAATGCTACCATCTTCCAAATTCACACTTTGAATTTTGAAAGTCATCCTTCAAAATTTGTACTTTTCTGAATTTTGCATTGCAGTTTTCCAGGCAAGTGAAGTGTACAAAAATTCATTTACAAGAGTAAAGTATACAAAAAGTGCATAAACAACTGGAAATAACATTCCAAATTGTTAAGGGTATATGAGTATATTAGAAGAAATGCACACCAGAATACTCGTTCTTACTTTTACTTCTACATAACCACAGGCTGTCCTCACACACCTGATGTTATGGGACTGGGCTCCCAGTCAGTATGTGTTTAAGCCAGGCATAAATTAACTACTGAGGTGAGTTTCTTGGTTTGCAGTTTTGTTTGTGTAGCAGATGTCTGTGCATCAGATTGCATTATTTCTCTCCATTTGCAAGACTGCTGAAAAGTTACAGTTCCATGAATCGAAGAAAAGGTGATCAACGGGTACCACAACTTCTGCTGCAGATATTTAGTGCTTACACGAAGGAAACATTTAGGTTGAATGGACGCTTTCGCTAATGTTTGCCTGGGGCTGTGAAACAAAAATGTAACCATTTCTCTCACAGCAGTGAACAAAATGTTCTGCTTCCATTCACCAAATTGTTTGTAAATTGGTTTATGTTACAAAGCTCACCTTGCTTCATCTGAAAATGGCCATTATGAAGCTAGAAGATAGACTTTCTCCCTTTGAAGTATGCCCCAATCTCATTAGCATTTTGTTTACAGCTTTTCTGTTTGTTTCTTCGCAGAGAATCGAAAGGTCATATATCTCTTCCAAAACACTGCTTTACACAAAATAAAAGTGCACTTTTAACCAATAGATTCCATCAGTTTGCTGCTGCCCACTTTTGAACAGGGTCTGGTGGGAAACATCAGCGATTTTGCTGTTTGGCTGAACAACATTAAGATGCCCTAATTTAAGTTTCACAATCCTGCTTCAGTACCATCTCCAATATGCACAAGAGGTGCATTCCATATATTATTTGTGTAGAATGTTGCAAGCGGTTATGAAGATCTGGTTTTAGGAAAATGTAATATGCACCCCATAAGTTACTACAGCGCCCCACTCATCTTCTCTGATTCAGAAAAATAAACACCTTCCTGGCTCTTTGAAAACTGCAAGACCAGTATTCAAAGCACCAAGAAGGTAGACAAGCATCTATCTCCCAGTGAGATATTCTCAATGTATTTGCCACAAGGAAAGCAGTTGGACTGTGTAAGAAGTTGCCACCAGGTAAATGGTTGGAGGCTTGCTAGTGGGGGATGTCGAGACCCTATCGGGAATGTGGTGGTGTCAGACCTTTGAAATTAAGAGCACCAGCAGAGCCATGTTGGATCAGGTCAAAGGCCCATCTAGTCCAGCATCCTGTTCTCACCATGGCCAACCAGATGCCAATGGGAAGCCCGAAAGGAGGACTTGAGCACATCAGGAGCTCAGGTCCTGGTTAAGGGCTAGATCAAATCTACAGATCTGGGCTCTGGCACCTTCTTTATATAAATGATGAATGGGCTGGATCTCACTGTGAAACTCCTGTGTAGTCACTATGCAATGTACACATTGAAAAAGTGGCTGTCATACATAAAACTAGAGTAGATTCTGATTTATGATCACTCTATGTATCTGAATGACACCCAGAGGCCTTAGTTGGTACCATGACTTTAGTTTGCTGATCTGTATAAAAAAGATTTAGTTTCCAGCTCCTGCCTCTTAAATAAACCCTATGTGCATTAACTGAATGGCTGCAGGGATGGAGAGAAGAGACCAGGGTGACATTAAAAGGTGCAGGTTTGCTTGTTTTTACAGCTAACTGCATGATCTGGAGCTGTGGGCATGCTTGAGTGTTGGTTTATCAAGATTAGTGGGAAAGAGACATTGATGAATCACTAAGAGGCCAAATGTCTAGCCCTTCTCATGATGCAGCTCATCATGTGCATCCGGGCAAAGGAGTGTCATTACAAGGAATTTTAGGTTCTACTTTGTGCCAGACAGTTGCCTGAGAGAACTCCATCAAAAGGATTTAGCGCTGCAGGAGAGCATTCTGGCCTAAATAATTTTTTTGGATGGCTCTAGTTATCTATAGCATGCATCAATTCCCACTGAGATCACAGATTTGAGCATCACACATGGCTTTGACAGTTTGAAGTCTTTTTATTCGAGTTCTGATTTTAATGTTTGGAATACCATGGATCTATGTGAAATAATAAATGAGTGTTATTCAGTGTGGTGTTGGTTCAATCAATTTAATAGCTACGTAGGAAAAACTGGTTGAGCTTCCAACCTTAATATGCTTTCTTAGATGAACCGTAATGATTTTACAAGTTTAAAGGCATGAACAAAGGCTCTGAGTGCACCCATTTTTAGCAAAAGCTGATATAATCGAAAGATACACAGTACCTTCTGGTTTGCATTTGACTGAGAATACAGAGAATACAGGAGTTAAAACATCATACTAATATGTCACTATGATACAGAATACTGCTGAGTAATATTCCTTGATTTAGCTCTTTAAACAGGAAGAAATGAAACCACCCAATAACATATGAAGTGTAGCTGGAGTACAATGTAATAATAAATATGAACATTTAAAGCTGAACTTTAGTCAAGATGGGCAGATTTCACCTATCACAAGCTTGGAAGCTTCAGTGACTCTTGCATGGTATGGACATTATCTGGTCTTACTGTTAGCATAGATATCCAAAATAGCCACAAGTAAGGTGATATCAGAGATGACTTGCACCATTATGTTTTATGTGTTGTCACTTGGTCATATTTTTCATGCTCTTTGGCTGCTCAAATACCTTATTGGGTTCCTGCAGAAAAGAATATTAGACAGATACATTGTCTGAAATATTAAAAATAGTCTCAAAACAAGTGTTCTGTTTTCATTTAAACCTGTAGTTTTCAGCACTCTGCAAGCGCTGGGGAAGTTTCAAACCTGAATTATGAAGGAAGGTGATTCTATCCCCCCTCACCCCAATGTAGCAGTATGAGTTCCAGCCTTGCATGTTGAGAAGATTTATGAGTTCAGTCTGGCTGCTGTCAGATAGATTGGCAAAAGAGAACGCTTGCATTTTATGTGAAAAATCACATCTTTTTATGTTAAACACTAATCAGCTCCTGTGTCTTCCCTTGCCTACAGACCCTTAATATAGTAACGCCTCGAGTACGGCCAGAAGATTGCAGCATTGGACTCTTGCCAAGGAACCATGACAAGAATCGCTGCATGGATGTACTCCCCTTGGATCGGTGCCTCCCCTTCCTTATCTCCGTTGATGGGGAATCAAGTAACTACATTAACGCTGCACTCATGGATGTAAGCAAACCTCACTCTGAGGTCACGTTTTCTTCTGTATAGATAATTAGAAAATGGGCAGCTCTAGCTAAATACTGTCTGCCTGTTACAGTGGTATGTTTAGTAGGATAATTTCTCACAATAATGCTGACAAGTTTTCCATAATGATTTTTAAAAATATGAAAGCTGCATGGTGGCACATCTCATTGTCTGAGTTTGCTCTTACTGTCTGCTGTGATACAGCCCAGGCACAGGTTTCCCACCACAGTGAGAATTAAGCAACAGCAAAATCTCTGTAAGAGAGGGCAGTGCTTGTCCCAAGAAGACTAGGAGAAGGCATCAGGCTGTCATTTTCTTAGAAATGAATCAAAGGGTTGCAGCTCAGGGGTAGAGAATGTGCTTGCTTGGCACATGAAAGGTTTCAGACTTAATCCCTGGAATCTTCAGTTAAGGTGTGCGAGGACCTTGGCTTGAGACCATGGCTAACAGTACCGAGAAATGTAGCCCATACTGATTAAGGGTCTGCCTCCATATAATGCAGCTTCTTCTGAGAATAGAATCATTCAACTGTATGATTCTGCAATGTGGGAATCTCAACTAAAGCTTCCATGGCAGATGGCCATCCAACCTCTGCTTAAAAACCTCCAAGGAAGGAGAGTCCACCATCTCCCAAGGGAGACGGTTCCACTGTTGGAAAGTTAGAAAATTATTTCTGATGTTTCGTCAGAATCTCCTTTGTTGTAACATGAATCCTCTCTTCCTATGGATGGTCATTCCTAAGAGCAGTCTCCACTGCAAAGTGGCTGCAGAAATATCCCCCCATAATTGGGAAGGGGGCACTTGTGTCTTCCTTGCAAGCACTCTCATATATTTTTCCTTTAGGATGTGTTTTTATCTTCCAATTGATTTTGTTGTTATTCCCTAAACTGAATGTCAATGGAAATGAACCACAAGCATACTGGTCCCGCAAACCTGTCTGCTTATTCCTTTTCCATTGTCTATTATGTGCTCAGTTCAGGCTATCGTTGTTGTGAGAACCTCTGCTGTACAATCAAACGTTTGCATCTCTTACCAGAAAAAAAAGGCTTAAGATACATTCAGACACAGTATGTAGTCTTGTCAAAGTGATTCAGAGGCACTGTGATAGTGGGTACATATCCGTTATCTCACAGCCGAGTGAGCAAAGGCCTTTACTGCTTCACTAAGCAGAAGCTGTTTTCTGCACAACCCGTCTGTGTCTAACTCTGAGTTGTGCTGCTGCCAGCAATGAAACCGCTGTATTTTTCACATTTACAGAGATTGGACAGTGATCATTTCCACTATGAAGCTGAGATCATCCTCATGTCTTACAAACCCCTTCTGATCTTTCACCACCTGCCCTTATTACAGATTGGAATTTTTAAAAAGTGTTTATTGACTAATAATCAGTAGTGACCTGTGAGGGGGTAGAGGTGTGGCAGGCAGAATAGGCCACCATTTTTGGACAGGAATTGAGGGGAAGGGAATGCAATACAGACACACACATAAGGGCCTGGCGTCCTTAACTGTGGTTCAGATCTATGTCTGCCTCAACATTAACAGTGGTTAATTGTTTCCCAGATGTGCTTCTACCCTGCATTTGAACCAAAATTGGTTTCAAATGCTGAGTTAGAGGCATTTCATAGTTGGGATGAACTATGGTTAATAGTGCAGGCATAATATCAAACCATGGCTAATGGGAAATTGTATAATGGAAGCAATAGAAACAAAGGGGGAGAGAGCAAAGATCAAGAAAGCAGGCAGTATTGTGGCCCATTCCCAATCTCTTAATGTTTGGCATTACACCAGCACTAGTCCTGATCCACGTTGGTCTGATCTCTATTTTTGAGTAGGAACAGAAGGTTATGTATCCCCCAATTACACTGGCCAATTGTTTCAAGGAGTTAAATGTCTGCTTTTTAGACTGATCCCTTATGCTAATCCACGTGCACTCCACAGATGTTTAGAAGGGATTGTTTACTCACTTAAACCGTAAGCCAAAGTCAAAATACAATAATGCTTTACATATGTAATCTCTTTTCATGCCAGCATTTTCTTATATTTTAAAGGACAGATGAAGCACAGGAATTCTGTAAATCCACGTGATGGCAAAGGCATTGTCAATTGCAGACTCTGGGCATGGTGGGTAGGCTAATCAGAACAAATAATGGGTAGCTCTTCACAGTTCTGTAGAAGAAGGAATATTGTCAGGTGCAGTTTGTCAAGTGTAGTGTTTCAGGCAGGAGGCAAATTGCACACACCCAAACTCCTTCTTCTACATAGCTATTAAAGGTACTTATGATATGTCCATAATCTTCAGAATACAAAGTGGTGGGGTTTTGTTGTTGTTAAAAAAGAAATAAAATTAATTGCTCAAAATGGTGAAGAAAAAATGTCAAGCCTTCAGCAAATGTGCAAATAGGATGGAGGGGAAATTTAATCAGTTCACAATTATGGGCAAACTTACTGAATTTCCCCTTTCCAAAGCAGTGCATGAACTGAAAAAACAGCCATTCTTTGCAATTTACACTTCTCTGAATTTTGCAAAGCAGTTCTCTAAGCCAGGTAATGTGTGAAATTTGCATTTTACTAGGGCAAAGTGCATAAAATTGCATATATTAGTGAACAAAGCGTATAAACATTCATTGTTGAAGAGAAAAATACAAAGATGTGCATGTTATTGCATACAAATGCATATATTAGGAGAAATTTGCACTGGACCTGATTCTTTTTCTTTTCTTCATAAAGCAGCCTTCGCAAACTGCATCACAAACTGGTTTTGGAACTGTGTGGAATTGAAAGAGTAGCCTTTGTTACAACACAGGGCTGAATTGTTAAATGAAAAGAAGTAAACAACTCCTGTTGTGTGTGGGGGCAGCTGTAGCAGATGCCCATTTTGCAAGCCTGCTTAGATCTTCATATTCCGGCCACTCTGCTTTCGATGTCTTTAGGAAAAGGGAAGTCCTTCTTCCAGCTGTCCCCTTCAGTCATTTCCTCAAATTATCGTCATTATTTTGCTGAGTCTTGACACATAAATAATTCATAAGGGATAATCCTTGTTCTTATGGCACTTCTCTAATGAAATGTCTTCATTGGGATCCCATTACAAAGGCTTCATTCATTCAATGTGCAGCGATAACAAGGAGTGTGAGGTGCGATTTGTATAATCTGGTTACATGGCTTCGTTTGCCTGCCCACAGCCTCCTGGGTTTAATATTCTTCTGAAATCAATGGTGATTGATTTTCCCCACTAACATTAATCCCTTCTTTTTCTTTCTCTCCCTCCCCGCCAACTCTTTTGTCAGAGCCACAAGCAACCTGCTGCCTTTATAGTTACCCAGCATCCTTTACCCAACACAGTAGCAGATTTTTGGAGGCTGGTGTTTGATTACAACTGCTCCTCTATTGTGATGCTGAACGAAATGGATGCTGCACAAGTAGGTAGTTTCTTTGGGGGGGGGGAGTTGTGAGTTCCTACAGACCAGGCATCTTCCACCAGTCTTTTCTCGGCTAATTACTCTGAACAAAACAATTAAATATATGCATCCAAACTGATTTCTAGAAAACTTATTTATTTCAAAGCAGTTGCTTCTCAGGTAATCTTAAGATCAGAAATAAGCCTTGGCAGTCATGGGCTCCTCCCAGATTTCTTTGGACAATTATGCTGATCTTTGTTGCAGTGAGGGGAGAGATTCTCACATGCTGAGACTGCCATATCTGGGGTTGGCTCAAGACTTCAGGCAGTATACTACCAATCTGTCACATCAGCACAAGGATTTCTGCTTGGCAATGAAACATTCCCCTTCATCTTCTCATGCAGGCCCTGCACCATCTCCAAATCTGATCCGGAGGGTTGAGGGGGGACCCCTAGAACTGATTAAAAGGATGTACAGGGGGACGGAGGTAGCAGAAATTCTTGTGCTGATGGAACATTTGCCTTAGTGCTATGTTGGATTCCACCTTTGATTTCTACCATGGCAGTCATGAGGCTGTCTCATCACAACATGTCATTGGCCTACAACATGTATCAATTTGGTTTGCTCTGTCTTGAAGGGTCCTGTTGAAGTGATGTACCCCCAGAGGCTAATAGATTCTGAAGGATTCCAAGGGGCTCTAGCGAATTTTCATATTGATTCAGCTGATGCTCCCTATTGAAACTTTGGCACTCTGAGGAATGTAGGGACCACTCTGGATGCACTCTCAATCCCAAATTCAATCTTCAGGCTTCAGAGGAGAGTCTAGCTGCTGCTTGAAGCACCATTTAGACCCCTTTCTTGCATAGACAGAAAGAAAGGAAAGGGAGATACCTTGGCCATTTCATGTTTACCGCTAAGTGCACTCCTGAAAATTTCTTAGAATCACTCCCACGTAAAAAAAAAAAAAAAAAGGCACTGATATGTTCACACCATGTTCATGGATGACAAATAGTTCCACAAAAATATGGAAGGAAAAATTTTTCTTTGCCCTATGTGTGAGACACTGTTGAAAGCTTTATCTGAAAAAAATCACTTCTGGCTTCATCCAACAAGAGTAAGCTACAAGGCATGAATCAGTTTGCTGGATGCCTTTGCCTTACGAAGTTCTGGGTTCTGAACAGCATGGAGAGGAGAAATGTTATCAAGCATCTGCTCTTGATGGGTTTTCAAATTCCCATGCATGCAACATCCTCTAAGAAATTATTGGTTTGGTCAGTTCTGATGATTGCCAATTTGATGTTGGGAGTCAGGAGGCTGAATACAGGCTCCCCCCATATTCTATATTCCTTATGTTATATGTAGATGGCAAATCATGTTAAAGGTTTCACTATTATAACTGGCTATTTTCTCATTGGATGTAATGGGTTTTAGTGTAAAAGCTGGTATGTTGCGTTTTCCTCCATTCTAATTTTGGTTTGTTGTGTGCTTCCCTTTTCTCTCTGAGCAGCTCTGCATGCAGTACTGGCCAGAGAAGACATCCTGTTGTTATGGGCCAATCCAAGTGGAATTTGTTTCTGCTGATATTGATGAGGACATCATCAATAGGATATTCCGGATCTGCAACATGGCAAGGGTAAAAAGATACAATCCCTGGTTCAAATACTGGCATTTAGTCTGGGGTTGGTCTCCTGGACAACTCCATCAGATCAGTAAGCTTTAAGTATACAGAGGTCTGGCTGCAAAGTTCTCATACACAGGAATAGACTTATACCAAGTCAGATAATTGAGTGGCAGTGGCGCTCCAAGGTTTCAGGTGGGGGGTATTCCCAGCCCTCCCTGGAGAGGTCAGGGGTTGAACCTGGGACCTGAGTTACGGCCCTTCCCCAAGTTGCTTCTTTCCCACTCAGGTGGGCTTCTACCACAGGCTTTGTGAGCTCTCTCTTCCTCTCTACTCCCTACTCCCCACACCGAACCTCAGCTTCTACTTCTTATGGTTGAGGGCTCCCTCTCTAGCTCCCTAGCAGTTGTGGTCTCTTGTCATTCCACAGCTTGAGTTATCTTTAAAATACTATTCACACTATAGCTGCAGCATATCTCCTTCTGCCTCCAGTTCTGTTTCCCTGCAGACTACACCTCCTTCCAGTTGTCCTTGAATTCCCCTGATTGCCTTTGATCTTGGAGGAGCTACGCTGGGCAGATCCTGCAGCAAGGAAGTGGGCAGGAAGCCAGAGTGGGCAGTGCTAGTGGGAGGCAAGTGCCTTCCCAAATCAGGAGTTCATGCCTGCAGCCCTCCCCAGTTGCTGGACTCCTGTCATTAACAAACCTGGTCCCCCCCATCCCCCCCACCCCACCGTGGTCTTATCCACCTAGAAATATACTTTGCCCCTTTTGTTCTCCCCCCCCCCAATTAATTTCCATTGCCATCACTGGATGGATCCAGGATCTGCCATAGGGATGGTTAGGGAAAGGATCTGAGTCAAATTCAGCTTCCACATTTTCAAAGAATTTAATGTTGCTTTTTAGCACTCAGACATTTATTAGTACAGAAGGGTCATTTGAGGTAAAACTTTTTTGCCATTTCCCAACGGCAGGAACTTGCATACCTCCCCCACATATTACTAGCATGTCCCTACACACTCTTCTGTCTCTAGATGTGACCCATTCCTGGCAAATGTCTGATCCCTCTAACCTGTTACCTATCCTTATCCTTGAGCCTGAAGATGAAAGGGAAACAGAGTGCTTACAAACTATGATTCTCTGAAAAGTCTCATGAAATCTTGTACTGCCAATGGCAAAGATTACATTGATGTTCACCATCCGTCAGAGTAATTTGTCCCACGCAATTAAGTACCAACTCTCTATTGATTGCTTGTCTGTTAAGAAGGTGGTCATAGTGGGCCTCGGGGAGAAAAAAAGACATACCTTTTTTGTCAGCTACTGTATAAATCAGATACTAATTCCAAGAACTAGCTTTCTGCAAATGTTTGCTCATGACATTCAGGAGAGGAAATTATTGATCCTGTTAGCTACCAGCCATCCCTTCCATGATCTAAACCAGCAGTTTTCAACCAGTGTGCCATGGCACCCCGGGGTGCCTTGAACAACACTGGCCTCCTTCTCACCCTCCTTTTTTTAAATAACATTTTATTAATTTTCCAAAAATAACAAAAACATCATCAAAAAAAAATTAAACCATAATTTTGCTTGACTTCCCTCCACTCCCCCTCTTGTTTAGGGGTACTCTCATTTTCCTACTCATATTGAAATACTGCCCCTCAATGAGGCCACACTTAGATTCACAAAATGTTTAGGGGTATGTGTTCCCCTGCGTCCCCCCAGAAAAAAAGCACAGAGAGAGAGGCTGCCAGCTCTGCGGGCAAGGGGAGACATAACTGGGTTTCTGAGCCCCACAGGGGTGCCACAGAAAGAATGCAGTTGGTCAAGCGAGCTGTGGACTAAAAAAGGTTGAAAACCTCTGTTCTAAACTGTGGATGAGGAACCTGTGGAAATTCAGGCACTGCTGGACTACAAATTCCCATGAGCCCCAGCCCTGTTTGCCAGGAATGATGGGAGTTTAGTGATATACACACCATACATTTAAAACACATTTATGTCACCTTAGCAGTCATGGTTTCCCTCAAAGAATCCTGCAAACTGTATTTTATCCCTCACAAAGCTATAATTCCCAGCACCCTTACCAAACTACAGTTCCAAGGATTCCTGGGGGGGGGGGGGACCATGACTGTTAAAGTAACAAGAATATTTGACATGTATGGTGTGGATGTGACCCTGGAAACCAATATATGCAGAACCACAGGTTCCCCACACCTAGTATAGATCCATCTCATTCCATGTGTCTCCAGACAGTGATTACAAGAGGTCTGATTTGCCTTGTCTTGACATGGCACCTCCAGCCTCATTTCCTCAAGCAGGAAAAATAAGCAAGTAAAAATGAGCAAACCTTGCATCAGTTCATCTAACATAACTGAATACCTTCCTGTTCTCATTGTTTACTTTCCTGATGTGCCAACATGAATAAACTTCTTTGGGGAACCTTCCCTGCAAGTGAAAACAGCCTGAAGTTGCTTCCATTGGTCTCCTTTTACAGTGGGCAGTAGGAGTGGGAAGTAGGAAGCCTCTTTCTTACAATGGGATACAGAGGAGGACTCTCAGAAGACCAGAACATGGACTTCTGAGAGTACATAAAAGGTTTCATACAAGTCCTTCACACAGTCCAACCAAGATGTATTTCTTTTCTTTTAGCCCCAGGATGGGTACCGTATTGTCCAGCATTTGCAGTACATTGGTTGGCCAGCATATAGAGACATACCTCCTTCCAAGCGCTCCCTCTTGAAGGTGGTCAGGAGGCTGGAGAAGTGGCAGGAGCAGTATGATGGGCGAGATGGGAGAACTGTGGTCCATTGCCTGTAAGTAGTTTGCCTTTGTTTTCTGTGCTAAATATTGGTTACAAAGCAGAAAAGCAGGGAAGCACTGCTGATGAACTGAGCCTTCAGGTTTGCTGCTTTGATGGAACACCATACCCTGCATTTGTACATGTGTATGCCATAGTGCTGCTGATCCAAATGCCTGCTGAGCAGAATTGCATGGAATTGAAGGGCCAGAAAACATCATCTAGTTCAGGGCTGGGACAAGTTGAATAGGCCTTGATCAGCGTCCTGTGGAGGGCTCCTTTGTCCATTGGTAGATCCTGGGGGCTTATCAGGGGAGAGCAGCAAGATCTAGTCACCACTTAAATTTCACAAAGTAACCCCAAGCAAGCAGTGTTCCAGGGCATTGTTGGAAATCTAAAGAGCAGCTAGATCTGGTATGCATCCATGCTGATGAAATGCTAGACAGGAATGTTTTGTTTTTGTTTTTTTATGGCCCTGATCTGCTTAAGTATTGGGCTGCTAAGATCCTTCAAACCAAACACTCCTGATCTTTAAAATAATATTCCAGTCTATCATAGAATACAGCCTGCTCAAACCTTTGGAATATTTGTGTATCCCTCTCAGTTCATGAAGGAGGGAATTGGATCCCATAGTTGGTGTCTGCTACTTCCATGGGCAGCTTTGCAAATGCAATAGGGCACATTGCATGGCAGGATGGGGGGGGGGGGGGAGAGAGAGAGAAATAAGCCACTCGAAGTCCTCAACTAATACAAATTCCCCTACTTTCCCCATGTCTTTCCTTATGCACCTAGGAATGGAGGTGGCCGCAGTGGCACCTTCTGTGCAATCTGCAGTGTGTGTGAAATGATCCAGCAGCAGAACATCATTGATGTTTTTCACATAGTGAAAACCCTACGGAACAACAAATCCAACATGGTGGAGACACTGGTAAGTACTGCAGGCTGGGTTAGGGTGTAGGAATGCATCTCTAGTGAGATGCTTACGCAATGGGCCAGTTTTGAATTAAATTCTGTGGGTGGAATTCAACATCAGGCTAAGGAGAACCGTTCCATCAGCCAGCACAAGCATTCGTGTTTGCAAGATGAAATGCGCTACCCTCCTGCCCCCTGCACAGTGAGTTCTCCTGAACCTTCTGAGCAGATCTGGGGAGAACCAGAGTAGGTCCCATTATGCTAGCGGGATTCAACATGCTGGCTTCTGCTAGCGCAAGAACTTAGTTGAATTTGGCCCTATGCTTCAGCTCGGATGCTTTGTGTTTTTGGAGCGATTGCCAATTAATTTGATTCACTTCCACCTCACCCTTCATTGTTGAGGCACTAGGCACCAACTTAAACTGGGGTGCCACCACACAGAAGACCCTCTAGTGTTAATGCATAACATACAATTTCTGTCTGTGGAACATTGAGAAGGGATCTCAAAGGCCTCTTATGTTGGCCTTTGGAGGAATACAAGTGAAGGTTCAAGTAACAAAGAGACACAAGTATTAGAAATGAATAGTGCTGGGTATGCATTATCTTGGCCACATTTCATTCTGGATATTGAAAGATAAAAAAATTTCCCCTGAAAATAAACAAATGTTATCACCCCCACTGCCACCCAGCTTCACTTGGTTGTGACTGTCTCCATCAGTTTCAATAGACATCAGACAGCTAACAAGGAGCTTTAAAAGCTTTATGTTTCCTACATGTGCACACATAACTCCTCCCAATAAGTTGCAAGCCATAAATATTTGTGCTATAATTTAAAAGCCCTTTTAGAATACTAGTGTGCCCCCCTACTAGTTTGCAAACGTTAAGGAAATAATTATGTTATTTACTGCATTGTTTTTGATGTTTAACCTCTACTGAAATTAATCATGCCACCGCATTCCCAGCCTCAGAACCTGATTTCTGGTGGTACCTGATGACCTCATGAGACCTCAGAGATGCTTTCCGAGGTCTTGCGAGACTTCAGAAGTTGCATGCAGGCCTTGCGGTGTGGGTGTCGAGCACCCACAATTTTTGTGGGTGATTCAGGGACTTAGAGCCCCCTATAGTTGGCACCCCTGAAATGAATACAGTGCTTATCACAATAAACCCAGGACTGGATGGAAATAACCAGTGCCTTTTTCTGGGTGGACGCATACCCCTAAACATTTTGTGAATTTAAGTTTGGCTTCTTTGAGGGGAAGTATTTCAATATGAGTAGGAAAATGAGAGTAACTCTAAACACTTTTTCAAGAAAAAAGCAGTGGAAACAGGCATCTCCTTACATCCCTGCTCAGAGTAGACACATTGTCCATTAATTTCAATGGGCATACTCTGAACAGGACTCATATTGGAGACAATCTAAACTCACGTGCTCAAGTAGAACAGGAGGATGAGGCTTGTAATCACTCTTTTTTCTCATTAGGCTCTCTTTTTCTTCTCTTTTAGGAACAATATAAATTTGTATACGAGGTTGCACTGGAATACTTGAGTTCATTTTAGCCCATGAAAAGTGGAGAGCTTGCTGAATTTCCAAAGCCCTGATGTCTGAAGGGCACTGGTTCCCCTCGTACTTAAAAGGAGCAATGGGGTGAGGAAAGCAAAGCTCTTCCACCTGGAGCGAGAGACCAGGTCAGATCTCAGTGCCATTGGAAGGAGGAGGGATCTGCTACCATCTGCTTTCTCCAGGAACGTCTCTCACTTTTTAAACAACCTACTGTACAAATTGGCAAGCCACGAGGCAGGCTGGAAGACTCTGATTTCTAATCCTTTCTGACTGCTTCACTCTGCCATTTTGGATGTGTATTTTTGTTTCTCCTTGATACGAATGGGGAAGGGGGATTACTGGAATAATCAGTCGCCTTTCAACTCCTCTTTCTCTTCGCCTCCCCCACAAATCCTCACTTTATGTTTTTAGTTTTCTATATCAGCCATTTGGCAAAAGAGGAAAGCTTCAGTAGACCCACGTTAAGGCTTTCAGCACAGTGAGTCTTTGTGATCAGCTTTTCAAATGAAAAGGCCACTGCAATGAAGCTGTAATTTTCTGTCTGCTCCCATTGTCTTAGAAGCAGGCCATGGAACCAAGAGGCTGTTGGTGAATTTGCTGCCTTGGTTGCTACACAGTGCTACTCAATTTCCAATGTTGTGCATGGGTTGGTTCATAGCGGCTGCAGCACTGGTGAAGCAGTTCTGTTAAATTGCACCTCCTAGCCATCTAAATCAAAGACACCCTAAAATTATCTTCATGCTTCAAACAATTATTGGTCTTTGGTTTGTAATGAAGTTAATTGAGTTTTACCTTAAGTATTTGTTTGTGTACAGTGTCTCTTTAAAAGCAGGATGTCATGGAGGGGCAGGCTTGTTATATATCTGCTGGTTGTTTTGCAGTACACGCAGCTTGGAGGTTGTCTGCACCTTCTATATAGTCATTTTCTGAGGGCAAGTTCTGTAAGAGAATAGGTGATAATGGTCAGTCTGGCAGGCTCATCAGAGATGCAACTCCCTGTTTTGGCAAGGGGCACTAGTCTGCTATAACTAAACCTGTAAGAATGGGTGACAGAAGTTTCACACCATCTAATGAACTGAGTTATTAGGGGAAATATAACATGTGAACTCAAGCAATGTGATGTAGACCTATCTGACTGTGAGAGTCGAGAGATGATGTAGAGTATTCATAACTCAGAACAAAGGAGATTGGTAAAGTATAGAATTGTCACAATGTACGTGAGATCTGACAGCTCTCCAAACAATCCGATTCCAGATTGGTACATGGTAAATTGATGGTTATGCCTCAAAACAGAACACTTAGCTTTTCTAAATTTGTAAAAGGCAAGAGGAGTATGCTATACCCGTCTCCAAATATAGGAACTGTTGTTGTTTTTCCCTTTCAAAAGGACGGAATTCAGGTAGAAGTTGGCAAGCACACAGAGAGGGTTGATGTTGGTATATTAAGGAAGACAGGGGGAAGTTTTATTCTGCAGATTTTTCTGTGAAATCCTAAGAAGCAATTCTTGGAAACATACACTGGACAATTCTGCCTTGCTGTCTCAGGTCAACAATTATATTTTGAAGCTGTAAGACCGTGGGTAAATTGGATAATATGCAATGGCTGGTTGCTGTTTCATTGTGGGCAGCCAACCCTATTGAAATGATGCAGCTGTTATAGCTGTTCATGTATTTTTATATGCTTAGCCATCAGGCTTCTTTAAAGAGGTGCAGAAAGAAAGAAAAAATATTGTCTCCATCGGTTTCAACCCAGTCCATCATGTTTGCTAGTGTGGGGTTATGCAGCAGCAGCTCTATCCTCCCAGATGACAGGAGCCATTGTGAAAGATGTGATGGCCAAACCTGACACATGACAAGTATAATTGCCTGGAAAGTAGTCTTAGCTGTAGCATCTCCCAAGAGCTCTTCGTCCATCTTGGCTCATCACATGCCAGCTTTATGGTCTCACAGATGCCCCTTTACATTTTTATCTTTCCAAATGCTTGCCTCATATATTCTACCAAGAAGTAAGTCTGAATGATTCCAGTGGGTCTTACACTCCAGGTAACTGTATTTAGGCGTACATGCAAAAGAGGATATGCACTGCCATATTCACAGTGCATTTTCCCATCGTCATTACACACGTAACTGGCGTCGTCGTACATCGCTTATCCTATTTGAAAGCACAGAAGTCTCTAAAATACTATAATGTAGGCCTGAACCATTATCACTCATTGCATCCATATAATTTGCAAATGTTCAACAATTTTCACAGGTGATTAATGCTCCCACCATCCACTCTGGTAGACTCACGCGATTCTGGTAGACTCACGTCACCCCAATCTCTGAGTAATGCGAAATTCCAGGGGTTCCAAGCAGTTACCCAGGGTTCATGTTTCCTTTCCTTCAAACCAACCACAAGCTGGGAGAGGGCTCCACCCATTTGCCACCTTGCACAGAGCCCCTTTCCTTTGCTTCCCTTAACATCACCTCAACAGAAAGCTAGCCTGGCTTATATTTTACATTTGCTGGATCCAGGGGTTAGGAGGGTCTCCACATTCAGCCTACTTTCCCCCTCCCCAAACCCATAACGATAATATTGTCGAATTACTTCCTGTACAGGCTACTTATCTGCAACAGGAAGGTCAAACCTGCCTAGAGTTCAATATACTTTTAAAAATCTGTTTCAAAATAGAGCAAGAACACTGTCTTAGTCAGGTAGAATTAGAAAGCTATTCCACAGTGCCCCCACAAACTGCACTGATTGGGTCTAGTAAGCCCCAGAACCCTAACCCCAATCAATTCCTATTTCAGTCTCCTCATGATAACTCCAAACAGCTGGGCAGAAAGTTGGGTTGTTGGTTTTCTTTACCTTTGTTGTTGAAGATTTCATCAGAAAAGCTCACAATTGAAACAAAGATGAACAACAAAACAATTAAATACACAATCATATTCAACAGTTCAGTTGTGAGTAGATCAGTCATCAAATAAATTTGAGTCACAAAATGCTCCACTCAACAGTGTGTGCAGGTGGTAAAAGCTGAGAGAACAAAGAATGGGTTTTACAATAGGGTGGGGTGGGAAAGCGTGTTGTGTACTGTAGTAAAAATGCTGATCGCTTGACTCAGCTGATGCAATTTAAAATCCAGCCAATTTCTCACACAGGCCAGAGCTGGCATCCTGGCCTGATCCCTGCAAGGAATCAAACCAGACATGATGGCCAAGATGTGTGGACATATCCCCTGCCATGTAGTTTTCTCAGTGAAAATCACTGACCCCCAAAGCTGCTATTTGCCCTGATTAGAACAACATATAGGAAACCTAACTAAGGCAGGAGGATCAAATCCTTCTCCTTACATGTCAAGTCTGGAGGCTCATGACATCTCTTTTTCAGCATTGTGAAAGTTGCACCTTTCTTGAAACATTTTGTTTGGCCCTGATTATCTGTGTAAGAAACACTTGAATTGCTGGCATGGGTATTACTACTTTCCTTGGCTTATTCGTTTCAACTGCAGGTTGGTGATTGAGGGGGGGGCGTTTCTGTTAATCAGAAATAATTCCATACAAACCCCTGCTGATGTGATTCTATCCTCTGGTCATTTCATTAATAACTAGGCACTCAGGCTTTAGACACATTGATTTTTGGCCTTTGAAATATAGTGTTAATTTCCTTTTTTTAAAAAAAAGATATAATAAATAAATAAATAACAGTCGCAATACTGCAAGACATTTTAATTTAGAAGGCACCTTTAATTAGTAATCCCTTTTGCTCTCAAGATATATATTTTTACAAGTTCACTGGGAGGGTAAAATCATTAAATCCCAGTGAAACAATCTTTGTTTTAAATGTGGAAGTAAATAACATTATTGCAGCTAAGGAAGTTGCAGCATTGAAAGCCAATGTATCTGATACAGGGGTGATGGTGGAACCATTGTGAATTGCATACCAGGCCTACCATTGTCAATGCAGTGGGGTCATGTTGCAATTCCTTTGCACCCAGGGAGGGGAGAAAACCTGTTTGGGGCATATAATAATCTGGAAGAAACAGATGGCTCTGGTGTTGTTGGAAACATGTGAACCTGTTCTTTGGTCAAAATCTGGAGCTGATGAATGGCCCATTTTATGATCAGATACTGGAATCAAGAATCACAAAAGGTGAACTATAGCATACATATGTTCAATGTTATTTAGAGAGAGAGAGAAGGGACGTGGAAGAAAGGCAGCCATAAGGATGAGCTGAAGATATGTCTAAATGGGAGCATCCCATGCTCTCAGTTTGGCATGGAGCTAGAAGAGGAGACAACAGTACCTGAAAACAGGTACTATGGTATGTTTGACGCTGCACGCCATTTTCTAGTGCTAATCCCTTTACTGATGTTGATCCCCTGATTCCACCCAGTCTGCTATGCACACACCAGTGCGTGTAGATGCGGTGGGAAGATCCACATTGGCTCATGGCATGAAGTTGGTGGGAATGGTGCACTGAATCAGCACACCAGCCCCGAAAAATTATCAGGTTGGGAATGCAAACACTGAAAGAGTGAAAGAGAGGGGGTGGGGAGGTAGAGAGGAACAGAGAGAAGAGAGAAGAGAAGTATCACAAGTGAGAGTGCAGCCTTTCTGGGAATTCAGTTGGTAAAAGGAAAAGTACAGATTTGAACTCCTTTGTTTCTGATGCTGTATGTGAGAGTACAAAGAGAAGCTTGTGGAAGTCAAGAATGTCATTATTAGCTAATGTACTTGGTCACAGACCTTGTTACATTGCACCAGGAAATGTTTTGTGAACTCAGAGCACTGGCGCATCTGCTTGGTAAAAACATGATGCTGAATGAGAGAGCTCATCCTAGAATCAGACCTTCTTTTTTATAGCTCAATGTGATATATGCACACATATTTCAAATCTAAGAAAATGCACTTTTAAAAAAATCACATATATAAATTAGAATACCTAAAACCAAATTAAATCAGTGCAGTCAACAGCTGAGTGGCCGGGGCAGGGGGGAAGACAGAGATGCACTAAGCAAGATTCACTCAGCAAGGTTGGAGACAAGACAATAGACCTGAAGAGCATTTTGGAAGTGGTATGAAAGAGGGAACACTGCCATGGTAGACTCCTTTCAGGTCCCTGCCGATTAAACTGATTGTAGGTCTTGTTTTCTTAGATTTGTTCCCTGTTCACATTAAGAACAAGTAATGCAAAGCAAACCTCTCCAGAATGTCAAATAAATGCTTTTTTTTTTCTTCAGCTGCAGCATTCACATGGCAAAACTGTAGGAGGTCTTATTATGATTATTTTCTAATGACATAATAGCAGAAGTCCTTGAGATGAACTCCCAGCTTCCAAAGGGGCTCCATGTGGGCAGTTAATTAGAACAGATATGTATAGTGTTTACTGGTGGGTGTGTGTGTGTGTGAGAGAGAGAGAGAAAGAGGGCAGAAATGTGACCTAATTTTCTTAACTGAGCTAGGAAAACATGTGTGCGGCATTAGACTGTACACAGATGATCGTTATATTGACCATTGACTGTGCATTAAAGAGCCAAAAGGCTGTGCTTGATATGTTCCTTGAAATTTGAGCATCAGTAATACAATAGTGTTGAGTGATGACTCATTGGTATAATTGCTGTTATTTTTATTTACTTATTTATATTTTGCTTTTCTGCAAACCTTAGCGCAAGCTTTGTTTTTAGCAATTACAATGTGCAAGCTTGTTGTCCCTATCAGAAGGCCATCTCCAGCTAATATCCAAATGTACTTTCCCCCAAGTCCTACTGGACTAGCAATCCATCCTATCATCATTTATTGCCCCATATTATTACATTTTAAAAGAATGCAACTCGTGTGGAATGCTTTACATTATCTGATTCATCAGCCTTACGAGACTGCTCACTTTTATTTTGCTGTCACAGGACAATGAGCTAGAGAACAGGGGCTTCACCATGACCACCTAACAGACATTAATGAAGCTCCAGTAAGGATAGCTGTGGGAAGCCTGGTAAAGTTGGGATGGCAGTGAATTTTGTTGCATTTTAAATACTGGCAGGTTATACTTGGTTTCCACCATTGTGTGGAAGCAGAAGCACTGGTTGTTGAAAAATATGGCTGCCTGAATCCAGCAATAGTGTTACTAAAGTTTATCCTACTGCAGCAATAGTCCAGGAATGTGTATACAGTGGTACCTTGGTTTTCAAACTTAATCTGTTCCCGAAGTCCATTCCAAAACCAAGACGCGCCTTCCCATAGAAAGTAATGCAAAATGGATTAATCTGTTTCAGACTTTTAAAAACAACCCCTAAAACAGCAATTTAGCATGGATTTTACTATCTAATGAGACCATTGATCCACAAAATGAAAGCAACAAACAATGTATTGCAGTCATACAATCAATCAGTAGCTGAACTGGGTTCCACACAGTCACAAAAACAAAACAAAAAGAGCCACAAAAACAAAAATGCAAAATAAATAGCAAAAACAGACAGACCACAGAGTAACACTCAAATTGGAAGCGTGGCGCTCAAATCGGAGCATGTTCAGCTTCTGAACAAAGCTTGCAAACCAGAACACTTACTTCCGGGTTTGCAGTGTTTCTGTTCCAAGTTGTTTGAGTACCAAGGCATTTGAGAACCAAGGTACCACTGTATATGTGTTAGGGAAGGAGGGATTGGGAGAAGTCAGAGAGAGGGAGAAGGAAGGTGACTAAGGCATTTGAGAACCAAGGTACCACTGTATAT